CCACTGGAGTGGGCTGTTCTGTTTGGGGGCCGAATGGGTACCTTTGTTGGAAGGCAGAAAGGGAGAAAAGGGAGCTTGTAACTTATTTTTCTTTTTGTAAAATTTATGTGGAAGAGGCCTGTAAAGTACAGTTTGTTTGCACTTTTTTGTTGAAAAACTGCAGATGTATTAAAGGTGGAACTGTTCAGTTAAAAAAATACTGCTTTCAATAACGTTACTCTTTTAAACGCAAAAAATTTGTTGAGAGAGAGGATTCCTGAAGTGTAAAGTAATTGTAGCAGTGTAAGTTTCATTTTTGAGTGGACAGTTTGAGAGTGATACAATCTACCCTGGGCTTAGTACATTCTTCATGACTTTAAATCTTTCATTCAAGCTTAACTGTTAAAGAGGTGTTAGCAGTTCTCAAAGGTATTGTGAGCACGAGGAAGAAAGAATCAATGAGGGTTTTTGGCCTATTCTGTATAGTCAGACTAGACAGTCATGGTTCCCTTAATCTGTGGATGACATGTAATTGGAAAGATTTGTAGTCAAAGTTAAAAGTATGAGGGACTTCAGGTTGAATGGGCAGGTAGAAAATGTGTGAAAAGAATTAGAAAAGACTAGAACTGTTCAGAGAGGAACTGAAAGGAGTCTAAAGTAATGCAAAGAGTGGCAGAGAGTAAGGCAGTATTGGTTTCCATTGTAAGCCGAACATAGCATTCTGGTTTTAATACAAGAGGATCGAATGTAAGATTTAATTCTCAATCTAAATATTTCTACATAAACATATTGGGGCAAATGAAGCACAGGGGAGGTTGAGAGGGTGTAACAGGCTGCCTTATTGAAGACTATAGCCCTATGGGTTAAACCATTGTGCTGTGAAATGCCTGAAGCTATTAACCTTTCTCTCTTCTGCTGGAGTTCCATATGACTTAATGTGACATTGAGTAACATTCATTAGTGGTGTGAAGGTTGACTACCATCCTCTAGTGACAGTGGGGTTTGTCTTTGGCAGTGATTTCACTTAGGATACTTTATTCCTATGCAGGCAACATTTGTTGGGCAAAACTTGTCTTGCAGAACATGAGGTAATTGTATTGAATAGTGCTTGTCTTGTATTGCATTATTTCCTTTGGTAAGATACACATTTATTTTTAATAAATGAAGCAGGGAAAGCAGTATTTCATTTGTTTAGTGTTTTGTTCAATCTTTGCTCTGACAAAATCATTTTACTATGTCACTTTATTCCAGTGGAAAATGACTACCTGGCATAACCTTTGTGCAAGTAGCTTACCCAGAGCCAGTAATACTAGCCTTCTTGTTTTTACCTGAGCAAATTGTGAATCTTAAACATCCACTCAGGAATCTCTTATAAGAGAATCCCAGACACAGAGAACCATGGAAAGTCTAGCATAAAGTTAGCATAAAGCCCAAAGATAGTAAGTATAGCAAGAAGTTTAGAAATAGTGCTTTGGGCTATATTTTTCCAGTGATGCTTCTGATCTTTGGTTTGCATTTGTCAGTACTAGACTGGTTTATATTAAAGATGATATCATACTTTTGTTTTTTCCTTGGTGTTTTCCTGAATATTGAGCAGTTCAAACAGATCTTATCTTTCAAAATTATTTTTGTTAATGCCCAGAGATTCTTCTTTATACATGTTCTGGTGTGATTCATAAGGTCTGCCTTGCATTTTTTAGTCCGTATTTTAGTAGTGCTTTAATCACAGTCAGAAGACTAAAACTGAATTATAGTAAAAGTAGTGCAACACCAAAAATTCAATCATTTCTGAATTTTGAACTTTCAAAAGTCACCTAGCTTCTTTTCTATTAGCAAATTTTAAGATGACAGTGAAGACTAATTGTTTTACTGCTTGTTTTTAAACTCGGTGGTTATTTCCTCCAGGAATCCTGCTAACAGGATTCTGTTTGCCTGAAAGAGGTGTCTGGTTTTATCAGCATCTGTCAGAGTAAATCAGAATTCCTATGGAAATTAGCTCATTAGTATTAATTGTTGGCAATGTCTGACTGATTCATGAGCTGCCTTGCCATTTAAAAAAAAAAAAATCTCTTATTGAAAGCAAAACCTTCCATAAAATTACCAATGACTAATCCTTCAGTGAATGGCAATAAACAAGCGGATACCCCTTGTCTTCTGTCAGTCCCCGCTCTTGCTGAAACCCAGGTGCTGCATGCTCACATTGCATAGCATATACCACTGGAAATAGTCCTTTTGGACTCCATATGCTTCCTCTGTGGATCATTACTAGTCAGTGTGAGTAATGCCTGCAATATTTTTACTTAAATTAATACTGTTTAAAATGTATAACTAAATTCATAGTAACTAAATCACAATTCTTCAAATCTCGTAAGTTTCCAGTACTTGTTTTTAGCAGAGTATGTACAGTTAAGTTTTGAGAAAATAGTCTCTGTAGTTGTCTATAGTAACAAGCCTGGTTCTTGCTGACATGGTTATTTTTCTTTCTTTCTGGATATTTCTCCTGGGTGTTCGTAGCAGTAATTTTGTAATCACGCATTTTTCCCCTGATTACTTTCTCCTTTATCAAAGTTAGAATTGTTTTTGTTTGCAGTTGAAACACAAGCTTTTTAGAACCTTGGTGAGAAGTGCCCTTGATACTGCAGATCACTTTTACTTCCTCCATATTACTTATTTTCAAAGATTGTCTTTTTAATGAATTAACATAATTATCTGCTATGTAATTTTCTTTGTTCTAAAGATAATAGAAAACAGTGATAAGTGAAGTATCAGTCTTTCGTATTTTTTATAGGTGTTTCAGAGCTCTTTGCCTTCAGTTATAAGTCAGCATGGAAGATAACATTTGAAAAGCCTAATGCCATAATTAAATGAATTATAACAGGTCTGCTGAAGAATTGTATAAACAGACATTGATACAGCGCTTACTGTATGTAGGTGTGAGCAACTTAAACTATAATTCTGCGAAGTATTACAGAGTGTAGGAGAACTGCGTGATTTGCAGGTTTTCTGTTAACATTCAGTTACCATTTCTCATACTGTACAAAGGCTGCTGTGTTTATAATGCTTTCTAAAAAGTTTATCAGTGTTATCTCCTCATTTTTATCACTATAAGGGTATGTTTAACTGTAGTAAGTTAATACAAGATAGGCAAAATAAATTAGCAGTGTCGTACATAGTGCTTGAAATTTTTTTGGCTAGCTATTATTTAGAAATAATATACAAATTACTGATATTGCTTGTTTATAAGCATCTGTTTCATTAGAAATTCTAATCATGTGGATGCAGATTTAATTCTGTATTGTACCTTCTTTTTAAGTAAGTGGCTATGAATATTCCAGTGGTTTTGAATAGCAATAATATACTAAATATACAAGCAGATTTAGTATTTGCTTTGCATAGTAATTCCAGTTGATAAATCGTGGTTTGTGTTGTGTTTATTAGAGCTTTAACTGGTAATCTCATATGGAAATGTTACTTTGTAGGGCAAAATTCAGTGAAAGGGCCTGGGATTCCAGAGTGAACTTGTACATTCCTTCAGGGCATTTTTGCAAGGGAGGTTGTTGTGTTTTAAAGGTAGTTGATAAGAGACCTGCACCACCAACCCCAGACCTGCACCACCAACCACCATCATACATTAGTCTATAGAAGGTATTTGGGTGAACATACTCCTGTACCACTCCGTACCACCATTTATCCAAGTGAAATTTTTGACCATTTGCAGGATACATTATAAATCAGGATGTCACTACCAGACAATCAGATTTGAACATTCCTTGCATAAAGTAGCTTGCCTATATCCCTTAGGAATACATCACTTAACTGTGTTTATGTGACAGTGTTGATATGCCTGGTTTTACATGAAAGTTAAGGTAGCATGTTATTTATGTCATCATGAATTCAAAAAGTAGGTGGTTGTGCTTTATGTATACTGAGGTTATCTTCTTTGGGCAAATCACTCAGAATAATTGGAAGACGTAGTTTTATCATGTGGCTATTAATTAAATCAGGAAACAGGATTTTTTTTCTTCAGAGTTGGGCTTTGCTGCTACCTCAGGTTTTTTCAGTCTTCCCTTCTCTGAGGTGCTGACAACAGATTAACATGAAACAGAGCTCTGTTGAACCTAATTATGTTATAGCTCATTGTTTTGGGGACCTATAAAACTGTTCACTCCCTTTTTATGAGGCTGTAGTCACAATGAAAGGCCATAAACAGTGCATTTTCTCTTTCCTACGGGACTGGAGATTTCATTAGTCGACTCTGATCTAGTTGCATTTACACCTGGGAATGAATGCTTCTTTATCAGGTCATAATCCTTAGTAGGTCAAGCAGGAGCTTTTGATCAGCCATAAATGTCTGAAAGCTTAGTTTCTTTTAAAATTATTTGCTATTCAAATGTTGACTGAAGACATGCTTTCCTATACTTCAGAGGAAAGATTTTAAATATTAGGGCATTATTAAAAAACAAAACAAAACTGAATTCTTTCTATACTTTCAAGCAGTCATTGCTGAAACAAGATTTCCACATCAGCTAAGGGGATTATTATTTTTTTAAATCCGCTGAGACTCTGGGGAGGACTAATGTTTAGCACGTTTAGACCTTAGAAATAATGTGGAAAATTATGCCCTACCTTTATATAAAGTCTATACTGCTTGTGATTTTCCTGCTAAATAGGTTTCTGTAGTGTAGGTGCTCCGCTGAGATTAGTTTGGGTTATTTTTTCTTTTTTTGTTTGTTTGTATAATATACAAATATTAAAATTACGGGAATTTTCTAGCGATTTAATTGGGAAATCTCCTGTAAGATTTAAAGCTGGTTCTTTTCTTTTTTTAGTTGACTGGGTGTGTAGAGATCTTTTTTTATATATACTTATTTATATTTTTGTATTATCGCAATACTATTTTCTCTCCTTTCCATGCTGTAAGGTGATTGATAGATTACTGTAGCTTGACAGGTATGCACTCCACTGTGTCTGTTTTTATGTGCTGGTACTGCTAACCTGCTCGTTACTCTGCTTTACCACAGGATGTGAGCGGGGGCAGTTTCGCTGTGGAAATGGTCGCTGTATTCCTGCAGATTGGAGGTGTGATGGGGCTAGAGACTGCTCGGATGATACAGATGAAGCTGGTTGTCGTAAGTGAAACAACTATAGAGCAACTTTTTTATAATATAAGAAATACTGAGATGCCAATGTGCTCAACTGTACCTGTGGTACAAGAAGGAATATTGGAGGGGGAGAAAACTCCTGGTTGTCTTGATGACTGCAGAATCTACTTAAGACTCCATTGGCTTTGGGAGTCAGAAAATCAAGTAGTGCTCAACTTCTAACATGACTTAGCCTTCATTTAAAAATCTGAGTGTCCAATAATGCCATTTCATTTGATGACTAATGTTCTAAGTAGATGTAGAAATGTATTGTATTCTATTATTGCAGTAATCCTGAGTATTGGATGTACATATAGCTACCACCAGCATCACTTGAGCCTCAAATCTTTGGATCTTTCAGGCACTAGACGACAAGCTGTACCTACTGCATCTTAAGTAGAGTCTTGGTTAGTTGTCTAGAGTTGCTTGCGTTATCCTCAGTGCCAGCAGCTCAGGGACAACAATTGCATTCAGATGGGCTGTAATATCTATGCACAAAGATTCTTTCAAGCTGAATGTTAAAAAGTTGTGAAAATGAAGAAATTCCCTCCACAGTCTGTTTTCAGGAACTTGCCTGCATTTTGCCTTCTCGGTTCTAGTGTTCTTTGAGGTCTTGTGGGCTGGTGCAGTTATCAGCCCACTTATAGGTTAGGCCAGTTTTTGCCCTTCAGCTGATGGGGAGTGAGAAAGACTAATTTATGTTGGTTCTTTTCACACTGGATTGTTTCTTTGCTGGTTGACCCATATAATCATTGGAGGTCATTCACACAGCTTGGCAGTGTGGTTTGTTGCTTAGCACTTTAGTTAGCTCCAAAAACCAGTGCAGTTGTGGATGAAGAATGCCTTAAACTGGCAAAACAAAATGGTATTGTCCTATAGCTTGCTATTTCAGCTTCTGAACTGCAACTGGAAAGAAGTGGTTGGGCTTTGAACAAGGAGCGGGTAAAATTCACGTTGACTTTGTGAAAGATAAAAAAAAACCCCTGACACTTACTATATTTGTCATAGTTATAAGCATGAAGTTGAGTTGTTCTCATTTTCATACATGTGATGAATTAGGAAGACGAAGATTAAACTTTTCAGTTTTTTCAGTTAATTGTGCTTTTAAAAACAATATGTTAATATGCTATAGGTAGTGGGGCACATAAGAGTCTAGGAAGATAGTTTTAAACTATTTAAAACTGGCCTAAGGTTAAAATTATGTTACAAGATTATTCTTCGGTTCTTAAAACAGGAATAAAAAAAAAGTATGCATGAAGTGCGTTGTCTATAGTATATGATCGATTTTATCCCTCTAATTACTTTACCTCTACTGTAATTTTGTACTTCTCGACTCTGAATCTACAAAGTGATTTAATTTTCTCCCTTGATGCTTTGTTTACATTGGTAGTTGTGCTTGCATATCATCCCATGAGCACAAAGTGTTTCTAGTTGACTTTGCAGTATTGCAAAAACATGATCCTGAGAAAAAAGACGGTTAAGACCGGAGTCCTGTCTACCGGACTGTGTTGTGCTAGTGATTCTTCCCAGGAGTGTTAACTAGGGATAGAGTAAGCTGTAACACAGTTTCAAACATTTATTTTTGATCTTTCTCTCTAATGGCTCCCCGTTGTTTGGCTATTTGAAAAATACAGAGTGGAGCTGGGACAACAACATTCAGATTGTTCTGACCTGACCCTCACTTTTGCCTCATGAATTCACAGTGAAGAGTCATGGGCTTGTTTTGAAAGACCTTCTTCCTACCAGGTAGGAAGCACCTGAGGTGGAGTGAGAGCAATTGAACAGACGCCTGTGAGACTAGGGAAGCTAGCATGACTCCATACATAAGTGGCAAAAAAAGAGGCTCTGCCAGAGGGCGGTTCAGAGCCTTAAGCTTTTGCTGTGACCTGCCTTCTAGAGGAGCCTGTGTCTCCAGGGTAGGATACAAAACTGAAGATTCATACGCAGGAGTTCACTAAACTAAATTTTGCCTTTGAGCATCCTTCTGCTGGCCCACTTTCCCCTCCCTGCTCTGTCCATTTGCTTTGTTTTGTCAAATGCTTCATGTGTTTGGTGGAAGTTACAGTCAAATGACACTTGAACCTTAAGTCTTCTTTTTCCTTATTTAGTTGTTTTCTTTGAAAGTGCTTTCCTAGATGTCTGTGAAATGACAATTTTTTTTCATTGCTTACGCTAGCACAACCTACCTGTGAAGGAAATCAGTTTCAGTGTCAGACTGATGGTGAATGTATCCCACAGTCATGGGTTTGTGATGATGAGGAAGATTGTGAAGATGGCTCAGATGAGCATCAACAATGTCGTAAGTATTTAAGTTCTAATGTTATACCAGCTTTGTGAAATAAGGTAATTCACATAGCAGCATATTAAGAACATACAGAAACAAGCCTGCTGTAAGTACAGCTTTTACCAGAAGAGTCTCTCTAAAGCAGTTTCTAGAAATGAAATAATCTGAAATCTGAAATAGATAAAATACAGAAAATATGTGCAAAAAGACATCTCCAGGTCTTGAAATCTAAAAAGTTACTGATGTTTCAGTTAATTAAACAGAGAAAAAAAGGAGAAAAATATACAGTGCGTATTAATCTTATAATTGATACAAAATTTAGTAGTTCCAAAAATGGTGAAATACACATAATACTCTGATGTCCAAACACTCTCTCAGTCACAGAAAAAACAGCTTTTTTATTCATTGGATAACAAAATTCATGCTGCCATCTTAGAATTATTAAAAAAAAAAAAGTTCATGTCTTTCTAGAAAATTTTGAAATTTATATGTATATAAAAGAGGAGGAATTATCAGTCAGTTGAAGTAGACATTGCTAAAGATTCTTGTACCATGTTCAGTGATGCTATTTAATGGCATTATTATTTAAAATTACCAGAGCCGTTCTTTCTCGTATTCAGATAGGAGGAATACCAAAAGTCCTGGTATGGGACTGTATGCACAGTTTTATGTGGTTGCTTTTCACTGACACAGCTGTCACGAGAAGAGACGTAATCATTCTTGATCCTCTGTTAGTTATGAATGTAAAATATTCCTGACTGTTTAGGCCCTGGCTGTATTAGAAAGCAGTGCCTTACCTCTAGCTCTGCTGTTCATTGTGCCGTTCTAGTTGACCAAATAACTTACAATTACTGACAGATTTTGACCCAGTAAAAATAATAGAGAAAACTTTAAAACGGTGCGAATTGTTAATTTAATCTTTTAGGCAGAACAATTATAAGGAGGTATTTTTTAACCTAGAGGTCAACCCTTTCAGTGGAGAAAAGCAGTGACCTTGCAGCTACAGAAGGCCTCATAGAGCTATGTTATCTGCCATGTGCTTGTCAAGTGTTCTTTAATCTCCTTGAGTACACAAAGGTACAGGGGGAGAAAGTCTTATGCTAATATTTGTGAGAAGGATGGAGTAGTTAGAGGAAGAGGGAAAATATTTTTCTGCATAAAAAATCTTAGTTGATAGAAAAGACTGACTGAGTGCCTGTTTCTTGCAGCGGGAAGGACATGCTCAAGTCAGCAGTTCACATGTTCAAACGGACAGTGTATCCCGAGTGCATACTGGTGCGATCGAGTAAAGGACTGCACTGATGGAACAGATGAAAGAGTCTGCCGTGAGTCTTAACTCTTAGCGCTAGATCTGGTTTCATTTCATCTCTCTGTGGCATTTTAATAAATTTGTAAGATTAAAGGGCTTGCTGATAGACAGGATGACCACAATATGCTTCTTGTTATGAGAGTTTCATTTCAGATTCTTTTGTGTATTAGAGCTGATGTTCTGATACAGATCCATCATTGCAGAACTCAAATGCAAACTGCTACCATTGGATCAGGGCTTCTTGTTTGTCATTGTCTGAAAGATAATTAATATTGCATTAGAAAAAAGCAACCATGTTTAAATGGCTTAAAGCCTTGGGAGACTCAAAGCTAACTTGGCCAAATTTTTTTCATATTCTTTTTGCATATTCCTTATGAAATCAGTGGTAACTATAACTTGTATAGAAAAACAGAATTTGACCCCAGATCACTTCTTTGAGGGACTTTGACCCTTTCAAAAGCATTTGTATTCTAGACTGCAGTTTCCTGTGGAGATGAACTGGCACTGGGTCATATTGTATTCAGATGGACAAGTTTACATGGACAAGTAGTTTTTTTCGTCTAACTTCCCCCAGAGTTGAGGCTGCCTGACTTCTGGTGACAGCCTCTCTAGAACCTGGCCTAGGTTGAATACTGATGGAAAGGACAGCTGGCCACAGAATAGAGGTCACATTTTTTAGAGATGTTCTTGCCTAATACCTACACAATGGTGTGTAACAGCATATCTGTTCATTGTTAGTATTAAGGAAAAGCTTTACACGTGTCATGAGTGACATGTAACATAAGAGCTGTTATTCCAGCTGTTAGAACTTAGTGTGCCTTTGAGAAAAGGACATAACTGTAAACTTCACTCAGAACCAGACCTGGGGCGGGAGGTGGGGGAAGATGCTAGGGTGCTAAGGAATGGATAAAGAAGCAAGAAATAAAATGTTGTTAATGGCTGCGCTTAGAGGAAAATAGGGCATATGCACATGCTGTGTAAAGGAAAATCAGCATATTACATGGTCAGCCAACTGCTAGTGCATTTTATCGCTGACTCACAAGAGGCTAAAATGTACACTCTGTAGAATGAAAGGTGATTTAGAACTATACGGTACTCTGGAATAAAAGGCTGCTGAGACAGCCAGCTTGGAACCTTTCCATGTGATAAACTCACAGCCAATTCTGAAGTCACCAAGACAAAGCCAAGATCCAAAGTACTCCATATCATCGCTGGAAGAATATCTTCCGTAGCTTGGCATTTTTTCTCTTAAAGTTTAGAGGAAGAAGAGAGATTGGTAACTTAATTTAGCAAATCTATGACACATTAAAAAAAAATTCTGAAGAAAAGATATTCGTTTAAAAAATGCATTATCTGTGAATTAAAAAAGAGGAACTGCTCAGTACCTCTGAGAAATCTGTGAGTAGTTGTTGAATACAGTGTAGAACAGACAATGAAATGGTGTGATCGTTATAATGCAGTAAATCTGTGGCAGACTGGGAGTGGAGTCCTAAAGACAATACTCACAATTCTTTCTTCAGACTAGAATCTGCCGTGGTGTTTGAAAATTGAAGTGCACATTTTATTTCATGTTTAACATTCTTAACTAAGTAAATTAAAAAGGCAGTTTGAAAAGGGGCCTCTAGATACCTTAACAGTAGTGCTCTACTGCTGTGTGGGAAAGCCAGTCATTGCTGCATCAGCCAGTAGGCCCCATGACTGTTGTGAAGGCAGCATATTTAGCCCCAGGGAGAGGCACTGCCTCATATCATTCAACAGCCTCTACTCTAGTTCATTAGAATATGTGTTGACAGTCCCTCTAAGACAGAATAATGACTGTGACTTGGAACATTGAATGTAGGAGTGTTGGACTAGTTTAAAGAAATGTGATGGTGCTGGAGGCAAGAGAATCAAGAAGAATGTAATGACAAGACCCTTCCAGAAAGGCTGGTTAATTTTATTGCCTCTCTGTCTTTGCAAGGCCTGGAATTTTAAACAGAAGCCATAAGATAAAATTAATAATTTGGTGATTTTATGATTAACTGTACAGTAGGAATTAGTGTAAGTGTTAGATTTTACTTGCTTTGAATATTAATTTTTCCCACTGTTTCATCCATTTCCTTTTCCACACTATCTGATACAAACAAATCTAAGAGGAATATCACTATTTTGGCCTTTTCCTTTGTCATTATTTTTCCCTTATTTAATTTACACTAAAAGGTTTCATAAATAAAATGCAACATCCATGAACAATGAAAGAAAAAAGCTATTTAGAATGGATTCTGTTATTTCACAGAGCATAACAAAATGCAAACTTATCATGTCCGTTTACTTATGCCTTGCACTCACTGATTTGTCTGGAAGCAGATTTAGATTGTAAAGAAGATAAAGTTTTGTTGCTGAATAAGATACATTATTTAAGAAACTAGTCAAATGCAAAATGTCACCGTATGAAATAACTCAGCAATTAAACATGTAAAAAAATAGAACAAAGGAATTCAAAGCCTTAGTCCATTTTACTGCTAATGGGATTAACAGCAAGGGAAAACTACCCATGCAGAGGCTAAGATAAACATCAGACCAATGTTTCAGCTACAGGTCATGTAATTAGTGCATTGAAGCTGTTTTAATTTCATAAAATTGTGGGTCTTTATTTTCTTTACATATATATATATATATCAGATTGTTTTTCCAGCTTTTTTAATAATTGGCAGCTAGCAAATACTTCCATTTTAAAACTTTAGAAATGTAGAATGAAATGGCAGGCTATTTGGGGTAGCAAATACTTTTGGGGAATAAGCAGCCATTACTGGTGTCATTTTTCTGTTTTACATACTTTATTTCTTTCAATTAAAGGTAGAATTCTCTCTCTTGCCTCAGCTTCGTAGTTGAAAAATGAAAATCCCAGCCATGTCCATTTTACTTTGCTGTGACTGACAGAATAACCTTCCTGGATACAGCTCTGGCAGCTGAGCACTGCACTGAGGCCATGAGGGAGAAAGTGGAAGTATTTTAAAGACGTGTTGTTTGAGGCTGATGGGCTGAGTGCAGGCCCAGAAACTCTGGATTTTTGATTCTAATTTTGATGTTGAGTTGCTGCTATGGGTCAACTGCCTAACCTGTTAATTCCTGCCTCTTGTTTGCTACGCTAAATAGCTGTTGTGGTCAGGAAGTCGGCAGCCAGGTCTGGGATGAATTTGCAGAGATCAGGGTGAAAGTGAACAAAGATGAAGAACTGAAGAGATCATAAGGGATGTAGTCCAAGAAGGAAGAAAAGGGCCATGGTCAGAGGCTAGTGTTCTTTATGTTGGACAAATTACATGTAACAGCTATAGGACAAGGCAGAAGTTCAGGCTGAAGGAGAGTTTGGGACAGGGAAGAAGCAAAACTGGAGCAAGGTAGGGAAGGCAGCCAAAGACTAGAGTGGCAGGGATCAAAATCTGGAATTAAGGCCAGGAATGAGGGTCTGGTCAGTCTGCCAGCTCTCAAAGCATCTCTGCTATAAACACTACCTGATATCATGTAGCTCATAGGACTCTTGGGCTCGGGGTAAGTCCTCGTCCTGGTGTCTCTGATAGGCTATGAGCTGTCTGGGCAATGATTTTCCCACTGTAAGGTGGTGACTCATGGCAGTGAGTCAAACGGTTTTAATTAATTTTATTTTGTAAAATATTTTGAAATGTTGCTGCGATAAAATAATGACACTTAGAAGTAGGAAATTGCCCCTTTTTTTTTTCTTTCTCCTTCTTGTAACCTGGGTTAGGATTACAGAAGGTTACACTTCCTGGCTGTGTGACCGAAATCAGTGTCTGCTGAATCAAATACCAGTTGCAACTGTTTCCTGTTACTGTTTTTGTATGGATTTATTTCCAGCTTACAGAACAAAAGTGTTAGGCAGAGAGCAAAATAATGTAGGTTTATCAATTCCTGTGACATAGCTTTCAAGCATCTTCCACATGTATACATTGAAACATGCCATTTAAATCTGTTTGCAACTGTTGCCCCAAAACAGTTTGTGGGTTACAAGGAGCAAGGTGCCTCATCTGTCATTTGTGCTGGTGTTTGCCAGTTGTTTATATTTTGCAACTGAAGTGCTGGCATACCATGGGGAGACAGATTGTGGAGAAGTATTCTGGCTATGAGAAAGAGATGCCTGAGAAGAAGGGGAGATAAAGAACAACTCCCTTTCTTCTTGAGCACTGGAATGAATGTAGCTGGTTTTTCCTCTGTTTTCACAAAGCTGGTATTATCTTCTAGGAACTGTGATCACTAGGAAAAGATCTCTTCTTTTCAGTTTTCTGTAATTAGCCAAAGGTTCTTGGGAGGAAAAGATAAAGGAAACAATGTTCATGTTGGAGGCTCTTCACAGTTAAAAACAAGGTGAAAGAAAATAGTGTTTATATTTTTCTGTCCCTTCACTTTTCTTTCCTAACCCCATGTTCAGTCTTACACTATCTCCTTTCACTCTCTCCTCTCATACAGAATACAGCTGTATTCTCAGACTTTTTTAGATGCAAACTACCTACCTTTTAACTCAGAACTTATCCTTCCTTTTTAGCTCTTTCTAATCCATCTGTCACTGCCCTAGAAAAAACCAATGTGTCTGACTTCCTGGAAGAGAACTTTTCCTTTGGTTTTTACATAGTTCCAGGTCACTTACAGAACGCTGACACTTTTTCCATGTGCCCCCTAGAACAGAGACAGTATGATCAGCTTCTCTGAACAGTGTCAGTTCTTGCATAGCTACGGGTTTTTATACCCAAATGCATTGCTCTGGGATCAGGTGCGTATAGAGAAATCTTAGTTAAAAAAAAAAAAAGTCAAATAAAAGCTAGGAAATGTTTGTTGTGCAAGCCCCAAATGCAGTGACTAATGTAAGACCTTCCCACTTAAATTCAAAATGTCATGATACTCACTTTCCAGGCTTTCTTTGCTGGAGAGCTTTTCATTAAGCTAGATTGTGTAGGTCTTCCAGTTTAGGGGGTTCATCCCATTTGTATCCTCCCCACTGCCAAGGTCCAGATTCTTCTTTTCCTATTCAGAACTTTCCATTTGGTGATAGGGAGTAGAAGAACTCAGCTCACTCCTTGCTAATGTTTTCTAAATTTTGGAGAGAAAGAAAGGGAGTTTAAGTCCTGTTTTTTTGCAACTGCAAGGACAGGCACTCCTTCATTTTCAGATATTCTAGTATTGTTATGAAGTTCTGTTTTGGCTTCCTTCGTTCTCTCAACATTGATGAAGTCCACCACAAACGCATCTTGTGTGTGATTTCCACAGGGGCTTTAGCTAGAAGCTATTGCAAAGTGTAGCACAGTGGTTGGCCCTCACAGAAGCCAACATTTCTTGCTTGATTCTTGTATCTTTGCTACTTCTCTTCCCATAAAAGTGTGGATGGCTGTCCCAGCTACAGTGGAACTGTCCCGATGGCACAGATGCTCCTGAACCCTGCAATGTGTTGGCTACAGCCTTTGGTGTAACACAAAGCTTTGCCATTATTCATGAGGATTACTTCTTAATGCCCCAAATTATTAAAACCATTTTATTAAAATAATATGCTATAAGGTACAAAGAGTACAATGTACAATGCACAATGCAGTGAAAAATATCTTTCAGATCAGTGAGAAAGCTGTGATCAGAACTATAATTTACTAAGACTTGTCTTTAGACAAGGGATTGGGAATGGGATTACCTGTACAGAGTTTAAAAGTTAAATTAATCTCCATCAGGCTTTTCAAAGAATGTTCATGCTTCTGCAACTACAATTCAAATAAAGAATCTCTACACCAAGCAGATTTGAAAAGAAAATAAGGAAAAAGAAGTATTTGTTCACATTCTAGTAAACCACCAATATAGTCGAATGTGTATTTTGAAGTGTCTTCAAAATATCTTTACTTATTGCCCTGCTTGGTATTTTTATAATGATTTGTACTTATACACTAGATTATATAATATAATAAAGATTTTTTTCAAGGCTGAGGAATTCTCCAAGCTTGCTGCAGGAGAGAATACTTGGACAAAGTCTCCCTTCTTTTAGGGGAGCTTGAGAAAATCTTATTACTGACTAGATCTTTAGTTTGCCTGGGCATTCTTGAAGAAACAGGCAGTGCAAGGCAATGGGTTCAACTTCCTGTTTGTTTGACATTCAGTCCATCAGAAACAGTTTGGAACATCACTGGAGGTATTTCTGTGGAATATGAAGAAAGATGAGGAAAATTACGAAACTGTCTATTATAAATGTCCTTAAAAGCTTTCCCACTTCAGTGCAGTTATAAAACAAATACCTTTCATTGTTCTTTTTCTTAGATGTGCCCCGTAATACTTACAGTACTCTTGTGCTGCCATAGCTATTTCCTGCTATGCCGTAGAACTCCTGATGGTTCCTCCCTGTGATGGCTTTTCTGCGTCCAGACAGGGAAGCGGCATTGATTCCACAGTGAGCATAAAATGTGGCCCCAGGTCAGGCCTTTCTTTCCTTCTGTAGGCAGAGTTAAGATTTCAGAATCCATGTTGTTTCAAAAGCTTTACGAGTTGTTCATAAGCCTAACACAAGCAAGAAATGGATGAGATGTCTGTGTTAGAAGGGATTTTTCTGATTGAGAAGTGGGGCTAGAGGATGCTAATCATGTTTAGGGCATGTGTTGGCATTGTCAGTGCAGGCTTTTGGAATGGAAAGTCTGGGAACTGGCACCAGAAGGCCACAGGTAGGAACGCTGTAGCTGGAACCCTGGTAATCTGCAACTGCCATTCTCTGATTAGGCACATACTGTTCCTACCTGGCAGTTGTGGACTTATATTAACTGCAGTGACAATGAACGAAATGTAAATGAATCAATCGGGGAGATAGTCTGGCTAGACTTGTAGTGGACGTCAACGCAGCTGTTTATGCTCTCATGTTAAGAACTTAGCGGTTGAAATTATGTAAGCCTATTCCATAGGTGATTGAAGTTTAGTGGGAATGTGGTGATATATAGAACAGCAGAAGCAAGCAAAACAGTTTGCCACTGTCTGGAAAAATTGCAGCTTTTCTGAGTTCTGCTTGAGTAATTTTATAATCCATGTTTTGAATTCCAAGAGTATGAATGAAAATGTGCCTAACTGAGAGCTTGCTCTATTTGCTTTATTAACTTGTATGGAAGTAAAATGGGATAAGAATTCAAACTGAAAATCTGAAAGGTGCAATATGAAATTTGGTTATTCTGTTTCTTGAGTTCATTTATCTATCTGTATTTCTATATAGGGGCAAAGGTTCAATAAATCTCACTTCTAAAAACAGCAATTATTTGCTTTCATACTTGCCATTTGCCTGAAATAAGTAACTTTTGTCTACACGGCAATGAGCTAAACTAGGCTCATATTCTCCTACTCAACTCTAGCACATGCACATGCTTAATTTATTGGATAGTTCCACTGAACTCACTGAGTGCTTGTATGCGTAAGTATTTTCAGAATTGGTTTTAAGTTGTTTGAAATAATCCCTTTTGTTGGCCTGTAGGTCATCTATAGAAGTTTCTACTTAGGCAGAAACTGAAAAATTGTTCATTCTGCAGAATCTTTTTTGTTTTGGGAAGGGGAAGACAAGTAAAAAACAGAGGTCCTAAAGTTGATCATGGACTTGGAAGTTTAACATTCTTGGCTTAATTAGAACAAAACCATAAAAACCTGAAGTCTCTGAGTCTGAGAACTCACGACATTGTAAGAGGACCTAGGAACTGTAAATTTCAAGAAATCCTTTTCTACCTAAGCACTTTTATTAAGATCAATAAAGTGTAAAACTGAGGTACAAGTAAATAAAATAAATATTCACTGCTTGCCCTCCCTTCGTGTTGCATTGTTTTCTATCATATTGTAAACTGTCTGGGTTGCAAATCTTTTTGGGGTGTGAGAGGCCATCTAATTTTTCCCTTGTTCCTTGTGAGGTTTTGTAGCATCTGTCTAGAGGATATTCTTAAATACCTGTTGGAGGAGACAGTATACTGGATAAATGGATTGTTTGTCAGTAGTAGTACGGGAAGTTTTGTATTCCTTTTTTGTTTTCCTATAAATCAAGACATTCTGTTGACACTGGATATATATGACTCATTATACTCTATAGTCTAACACTCATGCTAATACTGAAGAATTTCTTATTGTAGACTACCCAAGATGTGAACAGTTATCATGTACAAATGGAGCATGTTTTAATGCAAGCCAGCGATGTGACGGCAAAGTTGATTGCAGAGATTCTTCTGATGAAGCTAATTGCAGTAAGTACCACATGTAGAGTGATCCCAAACAAATATGCTTTATAGACCCTCTTTTAAAATTAAAGATTGTAGTTTTCTGACAGATTTTCTGTATTTCTTTCTGTGCTAAAATCTCTTTCAGCACATGGATGTACCAGTACGCAGTTTCAGTGTGCTAATGGAGAATGCATCCCACGAGCCTTTATCTGTGACCATGATGATGACTGTGGAGATAGGAGTGATGAAAACTCTTGCAGTATGATGTTTTTGGTTTTTTTTTTTCCACTTTCATTAACTGTTTTACTAATAACTGGTTCAAGCAGGTAGCAGGAAGTAGATTGCTTGGCTATACAGCCATCAAAAGCTAGCCACTGTTCTCAAGGACTTTTTTGTACGGAAAGAAGAAAATTGCAGTGCTACTTTGATAGACTGTTTTCAGGTTGTCTTTGCTGCTAAGTGCCTGGGTGTGTGGTTACTATTTGAATCTGCTGGATTCAGTGACAGTTTGCTTCTCAACATATATAGTTTCACTTCTTCATGTTGTCACTTTCTTCATTTCAGCATCACCCAAAGGCAATTCCTTCACTCTGAAATCTCAATTAGATACAGCATGCTATTGTTTTTTGCCCAAATTTGTTTGGCTCTTTTTCACGTTTTTATTTTCCAATAGATGGAATGGATCTTCTAGAATTATTCCCAGTGACTATAATGTATAACTTTAAAGACAGATAACTGTATGGATAGTTGTCCTTTAGATGTTCACATAAGGTCTTTAATTGACTGTTCTGTTCCTGGAAATTTCTTGCTCATTCTTTTCTTCATGATCAGGGTATCCCAAAGTATTGCATCTCCAGCCAGAATCATGGCTGTAGAGTTATCACTTGTGTGAGCTATATATTTAAAAAGGTCCCCCACTGAGGTAAGTGGGGGATCTAAGTTAGTTTTATATTCTGCATTGCAGGAAGGCCACATGTGGCCATTTAGTTGCTCTATCCTACCAAGGACCTCACACCAGTATGATTCCACCCTTCCCACCCACCCCAAAATATTTCTGTTTTATATCTTTGGCAATGCCTGTCCTTCGGAGGACTCACAAATGTTTCTGAACTCTTAGCAGGGAATGCTTCCCAACCATGGAGGGCTTTGACATAAATGTTCATTGGTTTTTTTACTCTGTTTCTCTGAGTACAAGGCATACAAATATTTTACCTCCCGATGTCTTGAGTATCATCTCCTTGTCATGTCCACCTTCAGGAATCTTGTTAGTAAGACACTCTGCATCTAGTTGCACAATTAATTGAGAAATTTAGCCTTCCCTTTCATTTCTGTAAAAACCCAGAGTATTCTAAAATAAAGTTCATACCTAAAAACAGAGCAAACCAGCAGTGTTTACAACATATACAAGATATGGAACTGGCTCAGTTTTTCAGGAGAGATTATAAATGGCTATTCATCTACGAGACGATATTACTATTTCTAACCTTTTAGTCACTTAGAGTAGTTTGATTTTCTCATGTTTCTTTCCTTAGCTTACGCAACTTGCAGAGGCAACTTCTTCACTTGCCCAAGTGGCCGTTGCATTCATCAGAGCTGGATATGTGATGGAGATGATGATTGTGAAGATAATGAAGACGAAAGAGGATGCGGTATATACTAATGCTAACTTCTAATGATGACATTTTCAGAGCAAGACCTCACTAAGCTAATTCTATGAAATTTTGACGAATCAAGATGTTCTGAATCCATTTTAATTCTGTGAAAACCTTAGAATTCCATCTTCACCTGTTTCTTTTTTTTTTTTAGTTATGCATTTTTTTTTAAATTATTGTGTGTATGAGAGTTATTGCTGTGATACTGAGTATGATGCAAACTAAGTTTAGCAACATCTAAGATAGCAACATCTTTTTTTCTTTTACATCTTCTCTTAAATCTTTTGGTTTTTTTCCTGTGGAGATTTTTCAGGTCATCTATTAAGAGATATGAGGCTGCTAATAACTCAAATCAATTGGTTGAAAATGAAAATAACTCAGTTCCTGCTAAGATTTGTCCTGTTTCCTGCGAGAAACGGAAATTTTAATGAATGAAAGTGTGGGCTTTTTTCTCTTTCATTGGCCTTTTCTGTGATAAGCATTATTCTCTTTATCTAGACAGCCTTTGCGTGTTTTGAAACCACAAAACTATAGTTCCATTTCTGGTGCACCAGTTAGTCTAAAGCTAAATGGTTTTACTGTTTCTAACAACACAGAAAACTAAAAGGATTCATGTGTCTGCACAAGTATTGTTTGCATTGTACTTTGAAGGTAAAAGAAAGCATGACAGGTAAGTAGAGATGATGGTTCTTTTATAGTCTTTCCTAGCTGTGTGCAAGAACCAGAAACTGAATAATGAAGGATGGAGATGCTTTGCAGAGCTGTTAGGGAAGAAATTCTGAGTATTATTTGAAACATACTCATCAATTACTCTGTTTTTCTTTTCCATAGAAAGTAGTCGCCATGAATGCTACCCAGGAGAGTGGGCCTGCCCTGGGTCAGGACATTGCATTCCAATTGGGAAAGTGTGTGATGGGGCTGCAGACTGCCCTGCAGGAGAAGATGAAACTAACATCACTGCGGGCAGACATTGCAGTATGTATTAGAATCAAAAGCATGCACAGAATAGCAGAAACCTCAGCATTGATATCTTTTTACATTCACCTTTTGTCTCCTAAACAATGCTGAAATTTTGGAAGCTCACTATTTTTGTTGGCACTGTTTTGACTGGATGATGCCTAAAAGAGGCATATATGCTGTGAACAGACCATTCCTTTTGTAAATCTGTACATGAAGTTTCACAAGTAAGGATTTAAGCTCACTCTCTATATCCTAAAATGCGTTCAAGAAGACAGGGAAAGGTGTGCTATATGCCTTTTTTGTTTAAATATCTGTGGTTTTCCCTTTTTATAAGTAAGAAGGAATGTTGTGTACTGATTGGAACACGGGACTGAATTAGCATATCCTGAGCCTTGGCTATCACTTAGATTAGAATTTTCAAAAATATCTTTTCACCTGGGATGCCTGGTTCTCCAGTTAGTGGTATACTGGGTTTTCTCTGTTGGAGGCAATGAGCATGCATAGTTCTGTTAATTTCACTCGTATGAACATTGATTCCCTCTGAGAATCAGGGCCAGGGTATTTTACCTTTTTAATTTCTAGGAAGAGGAAAATTCCTATTAATAGAATCATGCCTTTTGGAATAGGAGGGCAGAAAAAAATGATAGGAAATAAAACCGTATTGTAAAAAAGCGTCTCTTGCTTTGCGGAGTGGTTTAGTAGTAACATCAGATGTGGGCTGCAAAGCAGGGCGTTTAACAGAAGAAACTGAGGAAAAGGAGGATGAAAAGGAAGGAGGCGGAAGCCAGCAAGTGCTTTACAATCATAATTTGATCACCTATCACTGAATTGTTTATTAGGTAGTAGTACAAGGAAAGGGAGAAGTGGTGAAGGAAGAGAGAGAGAGAGAAGAATAAAGAAGAATTTCTCCATGGACACAACCCAGTCAATATATTCTAATATATTGGAGTAATATACATATTCTTCTTAATATAATGTAGTAGGTTTTTTTCTGCATAAAAGAGTAAATGTTGAGGTTACGTGCTAATAGATGGACCTCGAGGATGTGTTGTTCACAAGCAGGTCTTGTGGAACCAGAAGAAGATGTGGTGCATTGCAGATGGCTTCCTCTGTGCAGCATTTTACATGGCACCTACCAGTGGTTGTTCATATAAGATTGATGCTTATTCTTTAACTCTGTTCTGAAAACCTGTTATAAACAGGAGCTTATCTTCTGTCTTCCATTTCCTTGCCTGCATGTATGTAAGCATATATGATTTCGTGGAACTTTAGACATAATTTCTTGCGTAGATTTGTTTTAAGAAGCTGTTCCTGAAATTGTAGACTCATCATAGAAAAGACTATTGCTTTGTAACTGTTATTAAGGCAAAAAGCTGTTCTACTGGTAATACGTGTAATTGTATTTCTGAACTATTTTATTTCCTTTTTTAGACATATCACGCTGTGCTGCTCTGAGTTGCCAGTATCGCTGTCATTCTTCTCCATCAGGAGGGATGTGTTATTGCCCTGCAGGATATACAATAAGTAGCAATGACAGTCGTACTTGTATTGGTAAGTGAAGTACAGTGATTGCAGATACCTAGTACCTTCTCACAGCTCATTGGGAAAGTTTGGGTTCCAGGAAGGCGAGTAAGTTCCAAATGGGTGGATGTACTGGCAAATAGAAAACCTCAAGAGTCAGCAAAAGAATAAAAATCTAAGTAGTACAATGGCAGCATGGTGACACAGAAACAAACCTGAGAGATATCATAAAGATCTCTTTCAATAAGACCGTTAAAAACATAGTGAGAGCATGATTATGTTTAAAAAGATTTACTCTTGGATGGCTGTTTTATTATCAAATTTTTTTACAGGTCTTTTAGTGGTTAGATGGGGAGAGTTTGTTTCTGCTCCAGGGAAGTGTGGTGTTGTATGCCTGGAAAAACAATTAATGATATTGAAGTATTTGGTACTTTTTGAAAGTGGCTGTATATGAAGACAGTAGAACATTGTACTTTAAAATGAAAAGGATGCTTTGTGTTTGCACTATGGAATGGCTGTATCTCCTATGACATTTCAGTATATAATTATTTACATGAAAATGAAGAGTATTTGCAGGAATGTAAAGGTAAGTGAGGTATTTTGGTGTTGCATTTCTATTCTGTAGCTGCTGCAACTTGGTAGCAGAAACCCTTGGTAGTACAAATGATTTATCTCGGTAACTGGAAATAGAGTAACTTCAGAATCATGAAGTTTAGCACTGACTAATAAAAGAAACTGGGTAAATATCTGTTATGGGTTTTCAACCCAAGCTATGGTGTTTGTGCTATTGAAAGTATTCCAGGTTCTCAGTGTCTAATTATATTTCTGTGTTTTCGAGAATAGTGGGTGGCCTAGGGCTGTATGAGCTGCAATGACAGCATGGTTGCTCTTAATAGAGAGGAGGAATCAATGCACTGATTCCAGGCACAAAATTTACTCCGTTCTTTCACTCTTACGTGGGAAATGCATGAAGGACACATTCGCAAACCTGGTGCAGTCTCAGTGAGTGTTCTGTTGTTCTTTGACTGCCCTGTAAACCTAGCTATCTGATTCTGACTTGTAAATCTGAGTCAATGTTTTTTTGGTTTGCCGAGATCTATGCATATATTTGTAGTGGGAGTAAGACTTGTTACGGGGGAATGGCTCACAGTCAGTAGTGTATAATTCCAGCTCTTAGTTTAAATCAATGTTATTGATTTAAGGCCAGAAGAATGAAACTATAGTGTTAGCGAAGTGAATTACTTTTTGAAACCATAATCTCTTCAATTGTCTTCTCTTCATTTGCTTCTGGCTCACTATATACTGAAGGTTTTTAACACATATGGAAGCTGAAAAGCTACTGAGAACAACATTTATTCAGTACCAAAATGTACTATCTAGGAAATACTTAAATTTTCACTTACGTGTTAATAAATGTTTAAAACCAGAAGTTCCTGTAGGAAGAATATTTGAGATTTCATTTTCTCCTTTTTTTGGCTTAACAGTAGAATTACCAGTTTCCAGCAATGTAAGGTACTGATTCTACTCAGGTTTTCAAGTGAAAGAGGTCTGACTTTTAATGTCGAAACCATGTGTTAAGTAGTGTTAGAAATCTCCTGGGCTTTAAATAACTACAGATAGGATGAAACAGCAGACAGTGTTCAGATCTGAATTTTTTTTCTTTTTTTTAGAAAATCAGAATTTTTAAAATCCTTGGTTTTAAAAGATGACTAGTTAAATATTTCACAATTTTGGAAGTAAGAGATTCTGCAGCAACCCTGGAAATTGTTTGTAGAGCGCATCTGTGAGAACTTGCTGGGTCATCCTAGCTGCAGACTCTACCTATATGGTATTTTGCATGCCAAAGTGCACTTCTTTGTACTTCTTGTTGGCTGGTTCTGGTGCACAGCCAGCTTTTAATTGGAAATCAGACACCTGTTAGTACGGTACCAAGTCTGAGCTAATAAACGCTGCCTTTTCGCAGGACTTATTAACTTGAGCACTGCACTAACATAAAGGTAGGGCTGTCCTTCAGAGTGGGCTTAAATCCAGCTGAGTGTGTGTTGCAGGATCTGTTGCAGGAAGAATACTGCATAGACATATTCTGTATTGTGGAAAGCAGACAATGACATCCCTTCCAATGATTTTTCCTCTTCTCCTGACAGGTGTGGGGTTTTTTTTTCGTGGGGCAGAGGTTACGGTTAGGTCCCTGGGCAGCAAACATTAGTTGTTTTGTTATCCAGAAATAGAAAATGGAAACATTTGTGGAAAAACATAAAACCTCTTTTCCCATGCTACAGTTTTGCAAACAGATATAAAGCAAGCAGAGGGGACAAACTTGCAGCTTCCCAAATATAATGACACCCCTTTTATACAAAGCATTGTTTATAAATTTGCCTTATTCACTTGACAGATTTTGATGACTGCAAAATGTGGGGTGTCTGTGATCAGCTGTGTGAAGATCGTGTGGGACATCACCAGTGCCACTGTGTGGAAGGTTATTTCCTAGAGCATCATCGGCATTGTCGGGCCAACACTTCAGGTTAGTGTGCAGCAGTGCAAGTCTCTTGCTGTTGTTGGACTAATAGACAGAACTAGATAAAATGGGGCAGTTTGCATGGCTATGCCATAAAACTGTGTTTGATTTTAACTTAACTCTGGCCTTAAGGACTTAAGGTCAGGACAGCATTCAGAACATCAGCAAATATCAAGAGACTCTGCATCTGCTGGCACCTGTAGGTTGGTGGAGCTGACTGCCTCATCAGGGCTGCTTCTCCTCAAAACAATGTCTTCTGGCTCCAGTGCTTTCTCAGTATTCCTGACTTCCACAGAGTTTGGAGGTCGTTGCCAGAGCCCTCCTTAATAGACAAAATATTGCTCCTGTGGGAGGCAGTTTCCTGACCTGCTCTCTGTGGATCTCAGTGGAATCAAGAAACCTCACTTTTTCTGGGAGGACTGTGTCATGCAAGAAGATGGTTTTGCTGAATGGTGAGCTCAAACACTTGCCTGTGAGAGAAACCATGCTCGTGGCTTCTAGTGTCCCAGAGTCTGAACTCTGCAAGAATGCTTGCCTCGCACAGAGCGTGGTTCCCCATCAACAGTAGGCAGCTGCTCCTGGTTGTTCACCTCCTGCACTGTTCTGAAAGGAGGCCCTGGGAAGCCCTTCTTTGTGGAGATGTAATAGCCTAGCAGGCTTTTGTGTGAGGCAGGTGTTCCTGCCTGCAGGAACTCAGTGGGAATGGGAGTCCCTGTTTGGCATAGCCGATTAGCAGTTTTGCTTCTTAGAAAAGCATGAAGTGCCCAGTTCCCTCCCCCTTCCTTCTTTCTTCAGTGACGTCTGCAGAGCAGTCATCATCTCGCAATTTTCTAAATATGCCCTCAAAACATAGGGAGTTTTTTGAGCTAATGAAATATGCTTGACTGTATTAAGACATGCATATGCCAGCACTGGGAAAGATTGTTATGTTTCCAGAAAAATTCTGTATCTTTCACAAGAAGCTTTCCACTCAACTTAGTGTGACTTTTGGGCCAGTGAGTTGTTTGTAAAGTGTTGATTTTCTATCTTATTAATGGGGGAATTTCATACCTGCTCTGGTATGCTCCTAGTTTTCCTGGATTAATTTCTGCTCTAATTGGGGAGGGTTCTATGTGTAGGGTGAAAAGATTTGGACTTAAATATATTCTTGTCAGACTTAAACCAAGCTTTTCAACAAGCACCTACTTTGAAAGTGAGCTTTCCATCAAAGACTTGCTGGAATCTCTCTTCTATTGTAAGATACAGCAAAGATTTTCTGATGAGATGAGAGAATGAAGAAGGTGGATAGGATAAGAGCAGTACATAAAAAGATAAGAAACATGGCCTGCCTGCTAGAATCAAGAAATATCTGAATCTCATGGGGCAGAAAAATCTTAAGAAAGTTATACTTTGATCAAGGGAGCTAAAGCAAGGAAGTAGAAGAGTACAAATAGTCTTTTGGAGTTTAGATGCACAGGGGTTTTGTAAAAGTTTTACTTGGTAGGGCTTTAAATACATATTCCTACCGGGTTTGCTCCAAGTCTAGAAACCAAAGGCAAATCAAAGCATGTTAGTACTCACATAGAAACATTTATACACATTGTAGTCTGAGCATCTATTTAAACCTTTGTGTCCAGGTATATATATATTTTTTTCTGTCTATATACATGTATATTTCAGTGCCCCTTTGCAAAATAGCTTGCCTCCAGAGTAGTCATATATTTGTCACCCCTGGTTTCAGCTGGTGTTGCATCAATTATTTTTTCCAATGGCCGTGATTTACTGATTGGAGATCTTCATGGAAGAAGTTTTCGTACTTTGGTGCAGTCGCAGAATCGTGGGGTTGCAGTTGGAGTGGACTTTCACTTTTACCTGCACAGAATCTTTTGGACCGATACAGTGCAAGATAAGGTGGGTAAAAATTTCAAGAAGAATATATTTTTGCGTATGTGGAAGTAGAGAACTGCAAGAGGCAGAATGTGTTGATAGGCCTTCATTTTTGAGAGCAGAAGCTGGCTGTATTTTTGTTTTCTAACAAAAAAGCTCCTTGAAATGTTTTATGTTAATGACTGTGTTTTTCAAGCTATACTATTACATGTGACATATTAAACAAAGAATCCTATTATATGGGAATGTCTTGAGCAACTTTTAATTTTACTCGAGATGGAGTCCAAAAAACTAATTAAGAGAAATAGTAGACATTCTTTCAAAACTGAACAAATTTTTCTTGGTAATTTTTTGAAACATGATCATTTAAAATGTAAAAGCTGTGTGCCTTCCAAGATGATAAAAATCAGTTTTCTTCATATACTTCAAATGGCACTGTAATTGAACTTGGATAACAAATATTGACAGTATTTTGTGTAATGACCCAATATTTTGTTACCTTTTTTTTTGAAGAGGAAATATTTTAGCTTCAAGATACAGTAAAACGGAGTAATTTTAAAAAACAGTCCAGAGACCCTTGTGAAAGTTGGACTTCACCCTTGTTCTTTTCCTCTGTGCATAACTTACTGAAACGAAAAAAGTCCTAGGTCAAATGCTGAAACTCCACAATCTTCATCCCCATGTTGATTGTCATGCAGAGCGAAGGAGGATCCATGGTCTGCCTCCTGCTGACACCATGTATGGATCAATTTTTTGTCACTGTCATTATTCTGAACCTACACATAAGCTGTAAACTATAGTTTTTACTACAGTGCTACGTTGGTTCTGTTAGAAAGCACAGTGCATGGCTGTCAAGTAGGACAGGATTTGTGTGCACAATTTTTGACTTGTTCACAATTCTGACATTTTTATTTTCACTGCAGTGGGTTCCCATTACTGCAATTGCATTGACAATGGCTGAATTAAGTCAGGGTCAAATCTGAACTTTCATGAGACAGGAGATTTGTGCTATCTCTGTAAAAGGTATAAACAAAAGATAATATGGGTTTTTTCACTGCATACCCCAGATGGCCAGGACTGCCTTTTTATCTGCCACGATATAGTTAAATCCTAATTAATTAATTAGGATTAATTAATCTAATTAAGTCCTAGATAGAATATCCAGATGAAAACAATGACATTAAGAATTTTCTTATACGATGCATATTTCCACCTGATGTCTTAAAATAAAAGTATTATTAGGGGATTTGTTTTGGTTGTCCCTTTTTTTTTTTGTAAGATTAGGATGTAAACTAAACCAGAAAATTGTGGGTTGTGTTCTGTGTCATCTTTATCTCATTTAGTGTACTGCCTGATAACCTAATGCCCATAAGCTCTTCCGTCAACAAGGTCTCCAAAGAACAGAATAGACAGTTAAATGGTTTGCTTGATTATTGTTAGCTGGACCTGAAGGATATTTAAAATGATACAACTATTTCAGCTCTTATTTTTCTTGCATATATTTACTTGTGGTAATCTGTATTTTCATTTAAATACATTCCAAACCTTATGCTGTTGTTCCAAAAAAGGGATAATGATTCCTAGCTTTTCATATTGCCCAGTGTTAAAATCGTATGATTGCTGTATATATAAAATTATCATGTTTATACTGTTTGCTTCATGTAGCTCTGAGCTTGCTTGTAAGACAACATCACTATTTCTTCTTGAGCATGATGCTGTTAAAATTAGCCTTAAATAAAGGAGACCAGAAGCAATGCTGAGCCTTCTCCTTTCTGTCAGGATAGAGAGCTTTCCCTTTCTTTCTTCATTTTGCAATTTCTCCTTAATGGTTGGTGCAGTAAGAGCTCCCCCTCTTGTTTCTGGTCACTGATGAGAGCTTTGCTAAAGCATGTTTGTTTTCAATTAATGAAAATACTGGTTTTTGCTAGATTCCAAGAAAGCAAGATGCACTTTCCTCACCTGTTTTTTTTTAATCCAGCAATTTGTCGTGTTTGCTAAAGCACAAGGCTGTTTAGTTTGTTACCTTGTCCATTTTGCAGAAATACTAGTTGAAGGCAAGCTTCTTGTAGTTTTTGCGTTGTTTTCCAAATCTTTGCAAAAAACCCTAAGCTAAGGAATAGCTTAGTGGTTAACTTGGTTGTATCTACTGGCCAGCTGTGGATCTGTGCTCAATGTGATGATAAAGGAGAAGTGCCATGTGTCTTGTGATTAGCAAAACATCATGTGGGCACTGACAATATTTGTATTGTTTTCAGGTTTTTTCTATTAATATTGATGGCTCTGATTTCCAAGAAGTTTTAAATGTTTCAGTTGACACACCTGAAAATCTAGCAGTGGATTGGGTTAACAATAAACTGTATGTGGTCGAGACCAGTGTGAACAGAATAGATATGGTTAACTTGGATGGAACAAACCGTGTGACTCTTATTGCTGAAAATCTTGGAAATCCTAGAGGAATAGCACTTGATCCAACTGTTGGGTGAGTTATACGTATCAGGTAATGGTAAAAGATGTCAGAAATTCCTTTATTCCCATGCAAAAGGAGGAGAACTAAGAAATAGCTAGTCTGGTCATTTTAGAATCAGATATAGAATGTTTTAAACATTTACATTCTATCCTAATCTATTCTACACCTTAAATTGTTATGGAAGGGCTGTGCACTGCTTTTATTCCCAATGTGTGGAATCTGTTTTATGGCTGGAATTGTATGTGCATGAGCATCTCTGAAAGCAGGGGAACTGTGGAATTGCCCTGCAGAAGAGTAGAAGTTATGCTGAAAGATTTCTGTTGTGATACCACCCACAGACCTCCTACTGTCTGTAATAAAGTGGTGGAGTGAAGCCAGGGAAGCTAGTGTCTCCCAACGCAACAGGCTTCAAAAATGTATGTGAGCCATGAAAACTTGGATCCTCGGAGAATGGGAAGGGGAATTTCATGCAACTTGTAGTGATGGATGCTGCTTTTGTGATGCATCTATTTGTCACTGGTTTATTTCTGGCAGTACACTTAAGTCTGTATTTTACTAAGGAAACTCAGTATTTCTGAGGTCTTTTGGGTGAAAGCATGTTTCTTCCTAGATTCATTCTATAAAAGAAAATGCAAATTACTTCTTGAGCAGGAGGTATAAAGTATGTTTTCACAGTATGCCAGCTGAGAATCAAGCTCTGTCTGAAAGGGTGCTGGTTTTTGATTCCATGTAAAATGTAGGGTTTTTTGTAAAATCTCAAGGAAACATGGGACTTTTTTGTTTGTATTTTGTTTTTTTTTTTCCTTTATAGTTATTTGTTTTTCTCAGACTGGGATAGTCTGTCTGGTGATCCTAAAGTGGAAAGGGCCTTCATGGATGGCACAAACCGTCAGGATTTGATAAAAACAAAGTTAGGCTGGCCTGCTGGAATAACTCTGGATATTGTATCGAAGAGACTTTACTGGGTTGACAGCCGGTTTGATTATATTGAGACTGTAACTTATGATGGGCTTCAAAGGTAGGAGAAATATTATTCCTTGGAGGTTACAGATACACTGGTTATTTTGTATCTAGTTCAAAGAAAGATTTGTCTAACAAAATGAGGTACACAAAGGATGAAAATTGCAACATAATGAATGTGATGCACCTTGGTATCTATGGTGTCATGCTACTTCTAGACAATCCTTAACTCCTCCATTCTTTGTCCTTTTTCTACCTTGAATACCTATTGCACTTCTTTTATAATGTACTTTTTTATAGTTCACCACTACAGTACACATTTTTATAGCATTTGCTTTTTATTATTTTTGAATTATATACATGGTCTTCCATCATCCTTTCTCTGAATCTTTTTCGTGAATGAATTTATTTGAAATATTCTACTCAAAAGCACCCCTTCGTGTAATGGGTATTAAGTGCTGCTCTTACATTTTATAAATCTTTGCTGTCAGGAATTAAGTCATCTCTCACCCTATTGTGATGCTGAGGAAACTATATCACAGCATGCAAGAAAGGAGTCCTTGAGTTTTTATGGGACTGTGTCTTATAGTATAGTGTTTAGAAGCCTGCTTATCTCTGCATCTGTGATTAGTCTCTGTTACTCAAGTACAAGAAAAAAATTGTCCCCTTTAGCGTACCTCCTACATATTGACTTGAAAAACAGTCTTCTGCTCATTTGACAGGTTTATTGCTCAGTGTATTTTTTCACTTACAAAATTATAAAAATAATGCTGGTATCTTTGCTCCTTTATCAGGGTTTAGTAAGACAAGAATGTGTTTAGTAAAATCTCTGGTTTTTGGAGATAAAAACTTATCACTCACAGCAACACCAAAAATCTTGTAGATGTTGTGCAAGTGGGCAAGAGGCAATGGCATAGTCTGCAAAGAATGTTAAAATACAGCTTACTGTCCACTTGTGTCACATCTTGCATGCCTACAGCATGAACCTAAATCACCCAGGAAACTGTTAGAGTAGAGCTGTAGAATTAATCTGATTTTGTAGACCTTCCTTCATGACTCCATGAAAATAATATTGTAGTGTTATTGTTATGTATTGTGTGAGGACTTAAAACACCTCTCTCTATTTCCTAATATTTATCCAGAAAAATATTGTCACAATATCTTGTGTAGAATAGATGAAATTTATTAGCATTTGATTTTCTTTGGTTTTGCATGAGTGATTAGTTCAAGCCAAAGAAAGTGTGGTTGGGTGGTTTTTTTAATTTTGTTTTATTTTTTACTGCATACATAGGACTTTATTTTTGGCCAGTGGCTGTTGCCGCCATAAATTTTTTACATTTAAGGTTTCTTGAATATTCCAGATTGCTACAGATGTCTCTGATTTCCTCTGTTTGGCCTCTTTCTCTAATTTTTTCTCAGTAATTATGAATCTTCTACATTTTTGAGTCGTCGTCTTTACTCACTGTGTTTTCTTGGAAATTGCTAACACTTTTGATTGCTCTGTTTTCACTGCTGTATCTTTTATGTTTATGTACCCTGTATGTTTAGCTTCATCTCTTCAGTTCATTTGGTCTTTTTCATTTGTACTTTGGCAGCTTCTGTGTAGAAGCAAAAGCCAGTGAATGAATTAATAATCCTGTATCCTTTCCTCTGTTAATAAAGTTATTTTGTAGATAATATTTTGTAAATAATTTTAAAACCATCTTTATAACAGGAGAACAATAGCTCATGGAGGCTCACTGATTCCTCATCCATATGGAATAACTTTATTTGAACACAATGTTTATTTCACTGATTGGACCAAAATGGCAGTGGTGAAAGCTAACAAGTTTTCAGAATCTAACCCTCAAGTGATCTATCAGTCTTCACTGAGACCTTATGGAGTGACAGTTTACCATGCTGCCAGGCAGCCATATGGTAAGACAGTAAGTAGATTATTAAGGGAGGTTTAGGAGCTATCTTACCAAAAGTTGGTAAAAATTATGAGAGACTGTTATTTTACTGTAAAGAACTGATAATTATGATACATAATTTTGTATTGTAAAACTGGACTGGTTTTTATCACACAGTGGTTTCATCCAGCTCCTGTAGCTAATGAACTGTCAAATGCAACATTTAAGGGGGGGGAGCTTATTAAATGTATTGATATTTGGAAGAATCAAACTTGTGCTTATGAGCAGTGTTTGGGACTTTTTTCCCTCAACACTGCAAGGAGGGTGCTGTTGGAAAAGGCTACCAGTGTGAATGAATTCTGAGATAAAATTCTAAACTAGATCTATATGCAGAAAACTATAGCCCAGATTATGGCCTCAATGCTGAGTATCTCTGTACAGAGCTGAATACCTTGAATGCCAGTTAGCTCTGATGTGATTTCGGTGCATTCCAGGGTAGAACTGGTGGTGTATGATTTCCATGTGATGTAATTCCCAGAGTCCACATGATTTATTGTGGATGTTGAAAAAAATCCTGAAAAATCAAGATAATGATGCCATTAGGTTAATAGATGAAGTTATAATCCTATCTGTATTATTTTCCAGTAAGAAATCCCTGTGGAAGTAATAATGGGGGATGTGAACAGATCTGTGTTCTCAGCCACAAAACAGATAACGATGGACTAGGTTATCGCTGTAGATGTATACTGGGCTTTGATCTACACATAGATGGACGACATTGTGTTGGTAAGAAAATGCCTTATGATTGTTGGAAATAGCACTATTCCATTAGCTCTAGAGTTATTTCTAGAACATCCTTCCTCTCTTCAATAGCTTTGTGGGTTCAGTAGGCCAAGGACTTCATGTTTTTCCTTCGCAACTCTTGTTGACAGCTTTAAATGTAATAATTTCTGCTGATGTTCATTTCAAGCCACAACAACTTAAACTCACTACCTTTTATGAGCATTTTAAGAGAGTAAGATATGGAATATGTGTAGACAGCTGTAGGATGCTTACTAATATGCAGACTTAGCATTATTTTGAACATGTATACCTGCTTTCCTGTGCAGTAATGTGCAGATTAGGTTGGTCTTCTCCCTTTGAACATATGGCAAGAATAAGAGATGCATTTTTGGAGCTGTGGACTTCCATCAGCAATCTGCTGCTTCCTGTTTGAGTGCAGAATTGTCACTGATGGGAGGTTTACCATGCATATCTATTGGCAAAGTAAGCCAGATATGTTGTCTATAGTTTTACTATTTGACCATTTATCTGGTTAGCTCAGATACGGTCTGGTTATATGGTGGCTACACAAAGCCTGTGAGTTATTTTTTTTAATGGATGATTGTAAAGAGGTGAGCACAGATGATGATTTCTGCTTCCATAGGCATAATGTTTTCTGTGAAGGTGTGTTAGGATCACAGTAACAATGCAAGAGGAATACCTGACCACATCACCTAATATTCTAGGTTGGGTTTTGTTTTTTATTTCTTCAAGTTTTGGGTCTATGTATATTTAAATTCCTATTTTCTCATTCTTCTTTTTTTTTATTTCCAGGCTGTTAGTCTTGCCAAAGGAAAATAAAGCTTTACAGTAAATTAACGCTCAATTATCTCACCTCGTGAATAAGCAAAAACTGTGTCTGATCTTTTCTTTTGCAGCTGTGCAGCAGTTCCTGCTGTTTTCATCCCAGCTGGCAGTCCGGGGGATCCCATTCAATCTCTCCACCCAGGAAGATGTGATCATACCTGTAACAGGGAGCCCTTCATACTTTGTTGGAATTGACTTCTGTGCTCAGGATGACACCATTTTTTTTTCAGATACAAGTAAAGACATGATCTACAAACAGAAAACCGATGGTTCGGGTGAGAATCATTCTTAGGAATTGTAGAGTAATTGTAGTAAGGAGAGTAGAATATATATTTCTAAAAAGAAGCACAAAAAATCACATTGTGAGATATACAGGTAAATCTTAGTGTCACCCTGTTTGTTCAACTCATATTAAGCTTGTTGAAGTCTCCTGTTCTGTGAAAAACTTGCTGAATGTGTTTGGGAATGAACTATTTGTAGCACTTCTCACAACTAGTATTTGTCACCACCAGTCTGTTTATGCAGACTAGTATGCCTTTCAGTAGTATGAAACTGAGTTTCTGTTTTTAATTTCCCTACCTGGAGAGCAGGATGTTTGTTATGATACTGTAATACAGAAAAAGAAGATTATGGCTGTGAGATTTTTGGAAGTCCTATTTGTGGTAGTGTGAAGAATGTTTCTTTCCAATTTATAATAATGATCAAATATATATTAAGTCAGTATATAGTCTCTGAGCTTGCTTGGTGCCTTGGGTCAGAGTAATGGTAGACTGCAGCTGACCATTATGCAAAGAGTAGGTAAGGTCTGGCTGTTGAGCAAGATGTCCTTACTGCACTGACCTTACTGACATTCGTTCATAAAACTCCTCTCAGTTTAAACTTAGTGACAGATTTTTCTCTCATCTTTGGCAAGTCTTTATTTCTCCTCTTTTGGGTTTGTGCTTCTGAACATATACCTCCTTCACCTGGAGCAAAGGGCACCCCCCTTCCCCTTGGTTATTGGTCTTTATATAAAGTAGCACAGAGGTAGCATTTTTACCAAGGAAAACCAGTAGTTTTGTGAACAGAATACTGCATTCATGTTATTTCCTTTGTTCCTAAATATTTACAATCATTATGTGTGTTATAAATTCTAGGAAGAGAAATCCTGACAGCTAATAGAGTGGAAAGTGTTGAAGATTTGGCCTTTGACTGGATCTCAAAGAATCTGTACTGGACAGACCCTCGATACAGGAGTATTAGTGTGATGAGGCTGGCAGATAAATCTAGGAGAGCTATTGTTCAGAATTTAAATAATCCTCGATCAATAGTGGTTCATCCTGTTATTGGGTAAGTTTAGCTTTGATTTTCACTTGAAACTATAAAAACAAATTTATGGTTTAAGCAGAATTGGTGAGGTTAGATTTACATCTCATTCTGGATTTCTGTTTGGATTTGTGTTCTTTTCTGAAATACCATCTCTTTTCAGTTCTCTTGTCTTTATTTTGTTTGTTTTATTCTGGCCTAGGATTCAGCACTCATAGGAAAGGGCAAGGTGATACAGATTCCACATGAAAGCAGCACTCAAAAGAATTATCTTTAAAAGCACCAATTTTTTTTCTTTTACTCCTCTGTGTTGATAAACACAAAAGAACTTTTTTCCTTTGTATCACTCAGATTAGAAAGCTATTTCTCATAGTTGAAAGATAAAGTTTTCTAAATTATTTTTAATATACTTTCAGTTCCCAGAATGCTAACTTTAGTTCCTTTATTTTTTCAATCTGAATTTCTTTATTCGAAACATATTAGATACTACTGGCTGTATTTGATACAGACCTTACAATATGCGATTCTGTGCCCTGCTTTTCTTTGATGGAAATGCTTAACTTCAAATTCAATACTCTGTGTTATTTGGCCATGCCAAAACAGCGTTTCTTTCAACGCATAGTTCAGCTTCTACTGAAGCCATACTACTGAATTTTTTCATTCTTGGATATTGAATTTTCATGTTTAGTAACCAAATATATTTTGGAAGTAATCTCATAAGAACAGTGTTTAACTTGGATCCTTGGGTATCCCAACCTTTTTTGTTTGCTGCTTTGTAAAGTAACTTAACACTAGCTTCAACTCTTTGACTGTGGGCATAAGTCAAAAGGATCAGGAGAAAATTCTTTGTAGTATTCATGCTTACTTGTAGGTATTACCTGGAAGATGCATTTTTGCTTGATTCTTCCTCCCTGTCAGTACTTAAATGAAATCCTTAACAATTTTAACAAAGTTATGGATATTTTATGTCTAAAGAGACAAACCACTTCCGAAGATTTTGGAAGTTGTTGTACACAGGATAAATATTAATTGTTGGTACTGCTACCAATTGACGAGAGGGAGACGGTCAACATAAAATTGTATTTTTTTTAAGGTATGTGAAGATGTCGTACAAAGAAGAACGTTAACGCTGTTCAAACATTTGCTCTGTTTAATTACGTTATATCAGCGGGTTTGTGTGTTCTGACATGTGTCCTTTCAGGTATATATTCTGGACAGATTGGTTCCGTCCTGCGAAAATCATGAGGGCCTGGAGTGATGGATCCCATGCCTTGCCAATTGTGAATACAACGCTAGGCTGGCCTAATGGCCTAGCCATCGACTGGAAGTAAGGACAACACAGATGACAGAGAAGCTTTTTGAGCAAATGTGTTTCTTCCTTTAAACTGTTAGGGATTAAAAATAAAGGAATTGTGTCAGATTGTGTGCACTGGCACTTTCATATTGAAGACCTTATTTTTCAATCTGTTTAAAAGCCTGTAAAATGTAAGATTTTGTCAGAATCCCTCCCCACACCCCCCAATAGCCTTTTGTCAGGATTAAGATTATTATTTGAGAAATGTTAGTGCTTCCTAATGGACATAATGTCATTTGAAGAGATATGACATTTTCATTATTTCTAGTTCTCTAAGGCTGTACTGGGTGGATGCCTTTTTTGATAAAATTGAGCACAGCACCTTTGATGGGCTGGACAGACGGACTCTTGAACGTATTACTCAGATGACTCACCCATTTGGCCTTACTATTTTTGGAGGTAAGTCTGGCATTGAAAAATATTATCTATTATTATCACAGATTTTTTTTTTTTTCATGTGATGATCTGTGAGTATGTGAGATAAAATAACATGGCCTTTGTAACACTGCTTTTCCTACAAAAAGCACTGTTGAAAGTTTCTATTAAAAATACATATTTAGTACTTCTTGCTCATTTTTAGGACTGTTTTTATGTATATTTGTTTTTAAATAATTTGAGGCAGATCAGGTAACTCTTTTAGTGCAACAAGGCAGATATGCTGTACTAATTATAGCTTCCAAGATGGGCTACTCATGCTGGACAGACAAGGTAAATCACCTCTCTAGAAATGATCAGCAATTTCAGGATTTTATTAATTGTATGTAAGGTTTATCACTGGATTTATTGTGTGTGAAGAAAGATGTCAGCATCTGACCCCTTTTGATTTTGTGTAAAAATATCTTCAAAAATATTCTAAACATTTCTGGAAAGTTGTCTTAATGAATGACTTTTAAAATTGCCTTGGAATTTGAAATGTCAGTTGACTGTTATATCTCAATTTAAGTGAAATCTGAGAGGGCTTGTTTTTCTAGGTTGTATCTGCCTGTGACTGAAGGACTTGCTTTGACTGCGTTAGTGATAAAAGTCCTTTTGTCTTTTTCATGAAACAGTTATGAAAAATTATTAAATTTACATAAAAAGCCTTGCAGTTTTACACATGATGCTTGATCTTTTATGTCATATTGCGCTGTAATTATTATATGTTAAATGTCTTTCAAAACAGGTTATGCCTATTTCACTGATTGGAGACTTGGTGGAATAGTTCGAGTGAGGAAGTCTGATGGAGGAGAAATGACTATTATTAGGAGGGGCATTAGTAACATTATGCATGTTAAAGCATATGATGCTCATTCCCAAATAGGTGAGCTCTTTTGTTGTACAGATGAAAGACATGAAATAGGGAATAAGAGACAAAATATAAGGACAGCAGGTTTCCACTCTCAATTTTAGAAATGGCTTTACTGAATCATAACTGACATGCAGGGGAGGCAGCACAGGCACTTTCAATCAGACGTTGTATATTTCACTGTTGTGTGACTGTATGCAGTTTTCCTCCACCATTTCTGTTACTTTATTTAATAACATTTAAAATGAAATTATGATTCCATTGTTTTTTTTGTAGTTGTATCACCAATTACAATGTTGTATTTCTCTTTTTCCAGTAGAAGTTTTAGTTAAACTGAACTATTTATTGAGGAATCAAGTCAATGTTTATTAATTAAACTACTATTCTTAAAGTAATCACTGTGCATAAGTCTCTAATTTTTTTTTTTTCTTTTCACTGCTGAATTCCATGCAATTCTGTGATCTAAAACAAGGATTTGGTATTGTAGTTAATTTAGTAAAACATCCAAGGCACTTATCAAACATGTGATCAAACCGTGTGCTAAGGGTCACCATCTATTTGGTGTCCAAGGATTGGATCAGGTCTCCCAGCCTTGCTCAGACAAGATCCTCATTTGTGGTAGTATACTTGTTTCCAGACCATTGCTGAAAATTGGCAGAAAATTGCATGAAATTTAATAATATGTTCTTGGCTTCTATAAAGATTTGTGTCAATGAAGAGTATATGGAACGTGGGACTTATTATTATGACTTACTCCTACTATTACTGTCAGTGAACTTGACCCTGTTTTGCAGTGTATGCAAAACCAGGATTTGCTACAGCATCTTTTTTTGTAAAACGTTCTTTTACTACAACTATGCACTTTTAATTGTTCCCAAGCTGTTATCAGTAGTGTATACATTGATCTTTTCTATCTCTTTTTAAGGCTCTAACTACTGTAATAGAGGAACAAATCCCAATGGAGACTGCAGCCATTTCTGCTTCCCAGTACCAAATTTTCAGAGAGTTTGTGGTTGTCCTTATGGCATGAAGTTGGCTTCAAATCAGCTGACATGTGTTGAAGATCCGTCCAATGAGCCACCCACTTTGCAGTGTGGCTCCTACTCGTTTTCCTGTGGTAATGGAAGATGTGTGCCTCGATACTATCAGTGTGATGGTGTTGATGATTGCCATGATAACAGTGATGAACAAAACTGTAGTTCTTTAAGTAAGTAATCCCTGTAATTTACAGTTAGTATTTGTTGTTTGCAGTTCAGAAAGTTTGATGGGTCAGTCTGATTTTCTTGGAATAAACCCCAATTTTTTAGGGTTGCATCCATGGATAAATCCTGAAATCTACCTGGGAAATTAGTTACTTCGGAAATTATTCGGATAACTCATGGGAATACGGGATTCAGCATTGACCACCTAAAGAATGCATGAAAATATTCATATCTTACTAGTTCTCAAAATTCAATTTATAGAGTAACAAAAATTTATCTTCTAAAGAAAAAAGTTGTCTTTATTCCTAGTTTTTTGTAAATTTTTAAAGATATTGGAATATCACTTGGTTGTCTTATTTTGATGCTTGGGGAGGGACCAACCATCTTAATAAAGATGAAAACATTTGAAAAATAGCACCATAAGAAAAATAACAAAACCATATGCATTGTCTAACCTTCCTCTAAGATTAGAGCAGCATCTTTTATTTCATTTGACATCTGAACAGAGATTTTATGGTTTTCATTATATTTGGGCACTTCTGAACTATTTGTTACATCTGGATTTTTACAGTGAAGTGGATTAAAAGCACATTGGTTCATTTCCTGGTTTTACTGTAAAGTGTCTCACACAAAATATTTTGCTGATCCAGTACATTGAGAGAACAGTGGGATAATTTTAGTTGATAAGATATTGAAGAGTTCTTGGCTTTTATGACATATTTGATGCTTCTTTCTTTGGAGTTAATTCTTTCTTTTAAATCACAAACAAGAAAATAGGACATATTAATAAAATGTGTTCCTTAATGCATAGGACTAACTAGTATGACTAAGGTATAAACTCTATTTCTTATTAGTGGGCTATTTTAGAATAACTAGAATGTCTTTTGGGGAAAAGGAAAGTATAAAGCAAATGGCTGCCTGAAGAAGTTATTTTTCTTGTTCTTCAGGTTGTTTTGAAGTACTTAACAATTTAGGTTTTTTATTGATTCTTGCAATTTAAAAAAGCTTCTAAGTATTCTGTTCAGTTCTGCAGCATGTTGGCATGACATTTTAAGCAATGTGGATTTTAGAATTTGATGCGTATTTTAGACATTCTGTAAGTATACTAAATGTACTGAATACTCTGGCAGGGAAGGCAAGTTTTGGAGATCTTTATAAAAGTGTCCTCTGTTTTGTTTTTTATTTAGACAATACTTGTGCTTCATCAGCTTTTACCTGTGCCAGTGGACAGTGTATTCCAGGTCGCTGGCGCTGTGATAAACATAATGACTGTTTTGATGGCAGTGATGAATTGCATTGTCCTACACAAGGACCCACTTCATGCCCTGTAACCCTGTTCACCTGTGATAATAGAAGATGTATTCCTAGAATCTGGCTATGTGATACTGATAATGACTGTGGTGATGGGTCAGATGAAAAAAACTGCAGTGAGTATCACAACTGTCTGTTGTTTTTTAAAACAACTGTGTATGTCTGCATAGATATGTCTGTTGGTGTAAGGATGATAAATAAAATTAGGAAGAAAGAACTAATATCTAAGACTAATATTTTGCAGTCCATAAGATGTGGAAAACTCATCTAATTTGAACTACCAGAGCCAAGTAGAATGCAGAAAAATAATTAAAAAAAAAAAAAAGTGCAGCTGTGATAGTTATAATCATGGTGCTGCATAATGTCATCTGCTGCAATTTACAGCAAAAAGCAGCTAAAGCTTGGATGTTCTAAGCACTTATTTCATGAGTGATCTCAGTAATGACTAATGGTGTAGTCAGCTAAGCTAGGCTGGATGTTTCTACCAAAAGTAAGACCAGTAGTTTTTCCGTATACTTTCTTTAGCGTTATTTACAACTGAGTGGAATCTTCTGTTTGTTTTGCATGAGTCCAAGCCTACATATGAATAAACAATTACCTAATACTAATGTATTAGTGCTTGTAATTTATATGATCACTAGTTGCTGCATTACATGCTGCAAGTTAGTGACAGTTTCTACTGTCTCAGTATTACACTGATTTCAGAAGAGAGAAAAGAAACACATTCACGTTTTTTGTCATTCTTAATAGCTTTCACAGGTACTTGTGAACCCAGGCAATTTCAGTGTCCGGATCATCGCTGTATTGACCCATTCTACGTCTGCGATGGAGACAAAGACTGTATAGATGGTGCTGATGAACATGACTGCAGTAAGTGTAACTTTGTTTGTTGAACACCTCTTTATTGTTTTCTCATTCTTGCCCCCTGAGGGGTCTTTGGTGACCTCATATTAGCAGCTCCAAGACAGCAGAATGCATAATAAACCTATCCATAAATTAACCCTGTTTGTGATGCTTGTTTTAGCATTTTAGTAAGCCCTTTGATCTCTGGCTGGTTGCAGAGGGCTGAAATCTGCTTCCTCTGTTTTCTGTAGATTCCAAGGTCACTGCATTTTCTGTGTCCCAGGGAAGTCTTCGGTGGAACTTGGACTCCTGATACCGTATCTGACTTGGGCACCTGTAGAAAAATTGGGTGCAGTCTAGCTCTGTAAAAGAAATAAATAAATAACATCAATATTTTTTTATTTTGTAGTATATAACTGCAGTGCCACAGAGTTTAAATGTCTAAGTGGAGACCAGTGTATCAGCACTTACTACCAGTGTGATGGTGTTTTTGACTGTAATGATCACTCAGATGAGACTGATTGCCGTAAGTATATTGATGCTGGAAGAAAGGCTTCAGTTATTAGGTGATGCTTCTGAAAATTTCCTTTATCTGCTATATCAAATAATTGGCACTACCGTCCTTAAAACCTCAAAATTCTTTTTAGGGAAACTTGTCTATAAATCATTTTTCTGAGCAGAAATTTCAAACACAGTAGGTTCCAGCTCAAGAGTAGATTTTTCTGGCAAAGAGTAGAGTTTGTATTCCTTTTGGCTCTAATGTTTCGTTTTACTTGGCACCTCAGTCTCAGGGTTTAAAAGTAAAATTAAGAAGTCTATTCATCTAGAAAACTGAAAACCTTGTATCCATGACTTTTCCTTGAGTAATTTTTTACATTTAAGTTAGTTAAAATGTTGCAGTGCAGGGCGGTGAAAACTAGTTTCAGCAAGTAATTTCATATTGCTTTGGGCATGTACATAGGTATCAATATATATAGATAACAATATGTGCTTGCTCAAAATATAACAATAGTTGAATTGACTTGTTCACCATATTATAAAGTAGGAGTTAAATTGGTCAGATTCTGAAATGTCATGTAGATTGACTGTGATTCTATGGCCTGATCTAAAAGCAACACAGTTCTCAATAGTATTGTAACTACTTATGCAAGAGATGAACTGAACATAGTGATTTTGCTTCTCTGTCTAAAATTGAAACAGCTTCTGAACTGCTGAATGTCACTGTTTTAGCTACAAGACCACCAGGGATGTGCCACCAGAACGAATTCCAATGTCAATCAGATGGCAATTGTGTTCCTGCTAACTGGGAATGTGATGGCCATCTTGACTGTGCAGATGGCTCAGATGAACATCATAGATGTCCTGCCAAGACCTGTCCTCCATCTCTTTTCCGCTGTGATAATGGCAACTGTGTCTATCGAGCATGGATCTGCGATGGTGATAATGACTGCAGAGATATGAGTGATGAGAGAGATTGTCCTACTCAACCCTTCCGGTGCCCCAGCTGGCAGTGGCAATGTCCAGGTCACAGTATCTGTGTGAATCTGAGCAAAGTATGTGATAATTCTGCCGATTGTCCTAATGGAGCTGATGAATCCCCATTGTGTAGTAAGTTACTGTTCAACATCTACTATAGCCTACTATGTGCTACGGCTTCAGAAGGAAATGGAATATTCAGCATGCTGTGTTTATGCAGCAACATTTCTAGCAGAAATTGTAAGCACGCTGAAATTAGAGTGCAAATTACTAAGTGGAACTTCCTTGCAGTGAAAGGAGACTACAGTGATGACTGATGAATTCATTAGCTATGTCCAATCTTGTGCTCTGAAGTCAAATGTGACTTCCACTGACTTCAATACAGGTTTTTATACAGCAATATGGGAATGAGTTTTGTGGACTCATTCACTAAAGCATGGTATGCTTTAAGTTCAGGTGAAATGCGATTCAGTCCTTAATATTTTCTTTTAAATTTCTAACTTCAAAAATCATGAAAAAAATCTAAAAGCTCACGTGTAGCCAGAATTTGTATTTATGTTGATTACAAATTGATTTAAGCATAACCTTTTTCTTTCTTTCCTTCTTTCCTCCTTCTTGTCTTTAATCAATGCACATTCTCAGATGAACCCCAGCCAGGTATGATTATAAATGATTTAAAATTTTTGTTTATTAATACAGTTTTAGGTTTGGAGTGATACAGTACATTTCTGTATATTCCTAGCTAGTTTTGAAAAATTTGTTATAAATGCTTAGACAGCCTTCTGTTTAGCATTCATTTAATGGGATTCAGTAGTACATGCTATGTTGTTACGTGCCTTCATGTGCATTGTGTGTGTTATATTTTGTATAAGGGCCTCAGTCCAGTCTCATAACTGGTGATTGCATAACTGATGATTATGCAGTCATGTTTTAGCAGCAGTCTTAGGCTAGTAATGCAATTGCAAAGTATTAAATTTAGCATAAGAAGCTTTTGTTACTATTTCCTTATTTCCTTCCCCAACCCCATTTCAGATCAGGAGAGCTGCTCTGACAATAATGCTGGCTGCACTCATGAATGTATTCAAGGACCCTTTGGAGCTCAGTGTACCTGTCCTATGGGATACCAGCTTGCAAATGACTCCAAGACCTGTGAAGATATTAATGAATGTGACGCTCCAGGCTTTTGTAGTCAGCATTGTTACAATGAGAGAGGGTCTTTTAGGTGTTACTGTGATGAAGGATACATTCTAGAAACCAATGGGAAGACTTGTAAAGCAGCAGGTGAGGAACATTGATGTCAACCTAAAGAATGACAACAGTATCTGGAAAATGTCCAGCTTTGCCGTTTTCATATTGTTCTGTTTTAAAAGAGCTATGTAAACAGTCACTTAAAATTGTTCATGGCAAATGACCTTGAGTATTAAAACTGTCAGTTGAGCAGTTAATTGGCAACTATTATTTCCTTGAAATAATATATTTAAATTAACACTGTAATATTTAACCCTGGAATCGTCAAAAATAATATTCTGGAGAAAAGCAATGCCAGGCACCCGTAAGCCATAGTTTAAAATTTGCTCTTTAGAGAGTTCAATGCTCACAGAGTGTTTAAATCCCAGCCTTTCACAAGACTTACCTAGTACCTATGCCATACTTTGCTCATTTCTAAAGAGCAAACAACACTGACACAGCTTAGCTGTCCATTGTTCTGTAACTCTTACATGGTACACTGACAATACGGAGGAGCCATATACGCAGTGGAATTTGTCACCACAGGTTTCCTAGTTTAGGGATATACTTAGGTTGTGGAAGACTCTCGCAATTTACCTGCAAATAAGTTTGGCCCTTACTAATAGGGAGTTTCTCATAGTTTGCTGTCTTTATGGTTGCTACTTTTCAGTTGGTTTTCAAGCAGCTTATCAGTGTAAGCTGCTGCACAGCAATCTAACGATGGCAGCCTATGGCTTTCCTGTAATCTGTTTATTCTCCTCCCTGGTCCCCATGCAGTCTAAAGGGGGGGAAAAAAGAACAGGCTGGCTAAAAAGGAGGAAGAGCCAGGCTGAGTAGAGTAATTGGTGGTACAAAGAACTTCGGGGTTTGAATCAGGACTGGGAGCTGAGTGGCTTATGGAGGAATGAGGCTTGGATGTCAGCAGCAAACTGGTTGGACAATGGGGAAGAGGACCCAAGGTCCAGATATGAGACTGGAAGGGGGAGTCTGATAGAAAGAGTAAATGATAGAGAAAGGGTGGAGAAAAGCCAAGGTAAATCCAAAAGTCAGGATAGACAGGCTGGATATGATATCCAATGTCTGGGCCTAAGAATTGATTTGAATTTGTCTTTTCAATATGCATATTTAGATACAATAGATTTGATGCTATAAAGCCATGTCAAATTACTCAGTGTTTCTTTTTCTTACAGAATTACTGTTGAATAGCTTATTGGTTTATTTTAATTTATTTTCCTTTGACAGAGTTTCGGAATCTTCTTTTGCTGGTGGCAAGTCGTAACCAAATTGTTGTGGACAACATCACCTCTCAGTCACACAGTATTTATTCTCTGGTTCGGGATGGGAGGAATATTGTGGCTATTGATTTTGATTCAATCACAGATCGTATCTTTTGGTCTGATACAACACAGGATAAAATTTGGAGTGCTTATCAAAATGGGACTGACCGAAAAATAGTAAGTTTTGCTGAATTATTCTTGTCTCTTCGTTGCAGAGAGAAAATGAAGGCACTGTATCTCCAGTTAACAAAGGGGAAGAGGGAAATCCTAACATAGTAAGAAGAGAAATAACATAGACAAAGTGAAACAAATTTGTAGATACTAAGCCAACATTTCATATAGTTTTTTGAAAAAGAAAACTGAATGCTTTCAAGAAGCCCTTTTTTAACATCAGTTGATTTTCCTGTTAGTAGATGCTAACTTCTTCAATAGACCCACCGAAATTAGTAGGAGTGTTCGGGTATATGCTTTGTCAGCACTTTGAATATGTACATTGTGACTCATTCTGCATAAGACACCTAGAAAATGTTGGAGATTTGGTTCCCCATTTTCTATATCTATAGAAACGGAAAGGTTAAAAATCTAATATCAACTAGTTTGTTCTCTCTCTCTCTCTCCTTTTCTTTTAATTTTTGTTATGAAACAGGTGTTTGACAGTGGTGTCACCGTGACTGAAAGTATAGCGGTAGATTGGGTAGGTCGAAATCTTTACTGGACAGACTTTGTTCTGGAAACAATTGAAGTCTCTAAAATGGATGGGAGCCACAGGACTGTGCTGATTAGTGAAAATATAACAAACCCAAGGGGACTAGTGTTAGATCCCAGAATTGAGTAAGATTTTTTTTTTTTATGTTTTGTTTTGAAAAGATGCATATTTTATGATGTAACAATATTCAAATTTGAGATATGCCTAAATTTGTATTGTAATTGTAAATGACAGTGGAAGAGAAAACTTAAGACAATTTTTTAAAATAGTATGTTTGCAGAGTTGATTTAATATTTAAAGTCATATGGTAATTATTTGTAATCTGTTGCTCTGTTTCCCTGTAACAAGATGTTTTTTTCCCCTGTGGTATACCACAGACTTACATGTAATATAATGCGGTATGCCGACCTGGCAAGGAACAGGTTCCTGCATAGCCCCAAGTTTAAAATAATTATCCATACCATATTAATGTTATCACAAAAGCACCTTCCCATTTCAGACAGCAAGTGGTATAGAATAAATAGAATGTTATGATTTGAACTGTTCATGTACAAACTTTTACTGTTTTTTGAGCTCTTCAATGCCTAGAACTCTGTTTACTGCCAGCCACGTGGGGCTCTTCCATTATAGCACTGTTAACATTACCAATGCATGCCTGCTAAAGTACAGACCCATAGTAAATTATTATTTAGCAACTGGAGAATCAGATTATAGTCAGTGTTGAAAACCTGTGATAACAGTAGCTTCTATATGCTGCTATTATTGACAAATGAAAACAGCAGTAGAATTATTAAAAGAATTTTTACAACAGAAATTGTGGTAATATCTTAAGTAAGCATATTGCTGAAATGAATTATTTCAGTATCGTTGTGTAGGGCTTCTCTTAAAAAGGTTGTTTCTATTTTTTGGCTAATGAGTCTTCATGTAATGTTTCTCAATAGGCAGCTAGTTTTTTTTCAGATTGGTAACCACAAGTTACTTTTTTCAGTGCTCATGTAATGTTCTGGACTGACTGGGGCCAAAACCCTCGAATTGAAAAAGCCAGCATGGATGGCAAAATGCGAACAGTGATTATTAACAATAAAATCTACTGGCCCAATGGACTCTCCATTGATTACCCAAACAAACTTCTCTATTTTGCTGATGCTTATCTTGATTATATTGATTTTTGTGATTACAATGGAAACAACAGACGACAGGTGGTTGCAAGCGATCTGGTAAGACATTAAGAAGAAACCATTGTTTTCCCATGTCCTTGCTGATAGTACTTAAAAACGTATTGGCACTGTCATAGACTTGGATGTATTTTCCTTCAAAATACTTGGGTGAAGCAGATATGAAGTATTTTAGCTGCTTGCTACAGCTGGAAAAAGAAGAATTGCATATCCTATTCACAGTCTCTCAGGAGATCTTCAACAGAACCTGAGTGTAGACTTGGTGCTTTAGATAATTCTCCTTTGTTTTGTCTGCATGCCTGAAGTCTAAAGGTGACATCTGACACAGCGTGTGCATTTGTTCTAAGCAAATACAATACAAAAAACCTGGCAGAACTTTCCCTGGTCACCTTCTGTGAGTGATGATTGCTGCTATTCCTGACAGCAGTGAAGGGTTTTGTGCTGCCAGGACTTGCTGCTTGCAGGGCACTTCATGAAGACCATCCCTCTTACAGGCTATCTCCCCATGAAGAGCTGCTGGCAGCTTGTAGCACTGTCCCTGTACCAGCACAATGTTTCAGATGTTCAGTTGGTACACATAAGCTGGTATAAATAACCACATGTATATTTTCAAGAATTGAACCTTGGGGCTTTTATTTTTGGCTAGAGAGACAATTCCTGTGAAATAGGAGCCAGTGCAATTTTTCTTGCCCCAGTCCTAGTTTTCTAAAATTTAGATAAGCCACCTTCCTGAACCCTCTGGTAAATTATAGGGGAGCTTATCAGAGATGTAAGGTCTTGACAGGTCCATAACTCTCACTAGATATTTCCTCTTGTGCCCTTGAAAATCTACAATTGGGTATTTATCTGTTGGTTCTCTGTGTTCTGCCCTACAGTTAGACTGCTTTGTTAATTCATCATGCTGTACATCTCACAGGGTTTATTTAGCATTTTCATTTTAAAAAATGTGTATTTCCCCCATAATTAATATCTTGTTTTCAGGCAATAGATGGTATTTCATGTTCTTTTGCTGAAAAATATCTTTTGAGACACAGCTGCTTTTTTTCTTATTTTTTTAAATTGTGCTCAGCTCTGTTGTTACTTCATTGCAAGCTTTACATATACAAATCTTCAGAACTAAATTGGTAAACATGCTTGCCTTCTAGATATTGCAGCATCCACATGCTCTAACTGTCTTTGAAGATTTTGTGTACTGGAGTGACCGCTATACTAATCGAGTAATTCGGGCCAATAAATGGCATGGAGGAAACCAGACAGTTATGATTTATAACATTCACCAGCCTTTGGGGCTTGTGGCAGTCCATCCTGTAAAGCAACCTAATGGTAAGTTCAGCAAAACAACTTTGGTAATTACAAAAATAAGCCATGCAGTAATGTCATGCATAGGCACTCCTGGAATCAGTCTTGTCAGCAAATGGGCTGGGTTAAAACAAGCAAATAATTCATATGATTGACTTGCAACTGCAGGTCATTTCAGCCTGTCCAACCTGGTATTTAGGGAAAGTAACCTAGGCAGCATGTAAGCATAATGACTAGCCAAAAAGAATAATAGGGAAGTAGTATGTGCCATTTTCTTGCACTTTGTTTTGAACATTTTTATAAGAAAATTAGAGCATTTTTGGGAAACATTTTAATTTAAAATTTTTCTCTGTGGCATACCAGACTCAGTTCCTTGTATGTTAATAATATCATTCTTTTAGACAAGATTACTGTCATCAACCTTCTCTTAAAGCACTTTTGCATTGTTTTACTTAATGAATAATAATAATAAATAAACCCCTTCATTGCATTCAAATTCCCTCTGAGATCATATGCAGGTGATCTTTTGCAGCTGAAAGACTGTAAAAAAAAAAAAAAAAAACAAAAAACAAAAAAGAATTTTTTTTTCTTTCTGTTAGGTAGAGTTATCTTCCAAATCAGACTTTTCATCATTTCATACCATGACCTGAAGAGTGGGAAATATATTGACACGAATATTGTCTTTCATTTTCTGCTATATTCTTTGTGTATGGAGTGCTTCTGATTAATAAATATTACAATGACTTTTTTTTTTTCTCAAAAACTTTCATACCAGGGAGGGCGGAGACTTGCATCTGAGTAAGGCACTAGTAATTTCAGCTCTATATTTGTTTTGGAAAAAAACCTTCCTCAAACATGCTCAGAGCTAGAGCTACTTAGCATTCTCACTGCAAATTGTTCAGTCACCAGAGGATACCATTAATTTATACATCATAAGAGGTTTTATTTTATAACCCAAGGTTTAAAAAACTTTCTACCACTGGTGGAGAAAATTGTTTATTTTTCTTCACTGTATTAAATTAGTACATTTTATGATTTTTCATTTAGAATTGTTCTGTTGTACTTTATGTGGCCAGACAGAGAAAGAAGGCGGCAATAAAGCACTTGCAAAATAGCAAAGCATGCTAATGTTTACAAATGAAGAAATAATTATTTGCTGATTGAAATTCCAGATGCAGTATTAAAACTGTCATTCACTCTCCTTTTTTGTAAATCATTACAAAAAATGAAAAATTAAAATTGTCTTAATCTTACACCAACTAGAGTTTAGATTTGTTATACTGATGAGATGCATAATTTTCTTACAGTTTGAGTTCTGAGTTTATGCCATTGTTTTATTGTCATCTTGTTAATTTGTTTTCAATTCTTGTTAATTTTTATATTAGGAACAATTGTGTCATTTCCTGGAACTTCCAAGCTTCTTAGAATAAGGCCTGCTGCAATTGCTAAGGATATACTCAAAATCCAATTTTTATTTTCCTACGAATATGTCTCATCCTGAAAAATCCTCTTTAGCAGCAAATTGGTGGAAGTGATCTAAATGGTTGAATTTTAGTGTATAGTAATAATAGCAGTCAGTAGAGACCTTCACTGTCTTTTTTACATTTTATAAGTTTAGACTGACAGCTTTAGAGTGATCCAAGAAATTATGCATTGAGCTCCCACTACCTTTGAACAAGATGTAGGCAACTATTTTATCTCTTTAGTTTTCTCCAAGAAGGTTCAGTAAATAATTTAAATCCCCCATCTAGAAGGGTTATAATGATCAAAGACTGAAAATCCAGCAGGCTTCCTGGTGCAGTTAAGAAAGTTTGAAACGGAGTTTGAAAGATTTTCTATGATGCAAAAAAATTGAAAAGACCACTGTGATAATGGTACTGGTTTTACATGAAAAATACTGTCCTGTTATGAGTGTATTGTATTGCTTGTGGTTCTTGGAAATAACTTAAGGAAATAGCAAAACTGATCTAGTGCTGGGTTGATATTATCAGTGGCAATGAGATTGAATATTCTCTGCAGTTGCTCATATTGTTACAGTTGCTAATACTTTTTTTCCTTTTCAGGTATCAATTCTTGTGCATCGTCCCCCTGTAGCCACCTCTGTTTGCTTTCTTCATCTGGACCCCTTTTCTTTTCCTGTGCTTGTCCTTCAGGATGGATGCTTTCTCCTGATAACAGGAACTGCATGAGAGGTAGGTCGGTAATAATAAGAGCTGAAAAAAAAGACCTGACACTGTCAAATCCATCCCTCTGTCAGGCAAAAAGCATACTTCAGATCTGTGGGCTGCTGCTCATGTAATCAAAGTTTGGGGCCATTCCATGCAGACTTCTTTTAGGACGCATGGAATGTACTTGGTCTAAAGTTTTGGAGCCGGGTTCTGGAAGGAACTCAGTCAGATTCAGATGCTTCATTTGGGGAAAATGGATGAACTCAATTTTCTTTTAAGCACTTTAAAGAAGCCGCATTTCAAAATTTCTCAACACATTGAATGTTTTGCTGTTGGAATACATCTGGAAGGAGCTTAGTATCCGTTAAAAAAGAAAACATACTCTGGCAGAATGTTGTCCTCATTATAAATATTCAGCCTGGCAACCTGTTTTTAAGAGTTGCAATTGTAAGAATGTCAGGATGCAGGACTAGAAGGGACTTTCTCGGTCACTCAAGACTGTTTTCTTCTTGTCCTTGACTACCATATCATATGTGCTCTTTCACCAGTCAGGTTCCAGTTTAAGATTAATTTGGTTTCTTGCCCCTAAAACCCTAAAAACTGAACATTTTTGATATTTGGAAACCTTCTGATTTTCTATTCAAATATAGTCTTTCCCCAGTTTATGCCCATTTCTTATGCCATTTCTGTCCTTCAGGATACATAGCATCAGTAGTTCTCCTTCATCCCTGGCATATGTTCTGTTGTATGTATTTGAAGTATGACATTCTTTCTCAGTCTGTATTTTGCTAAGAAGTAAGTCATGATCTTTGGGTTTTCTCTAATCAGGAGAGATGCTCTCCCTGTTCCTCATCACTCTCTTCAGCCTGTCTGAACTAATGCATTTTGGAATTCAGATCAAAATTTCACAGCTTGAGCTTTTTCCCTCCCCAGTGTAAAAAATTTGTATGCCAAATGCAGGAGGTTTAGAAACACAGCCTAAAACTACAGATGCCACAGGTGATGCAGCTGTAACAGAGCTAGCCTTTGCAAACAAAACTTCGTATCAAAAAGTACCACTGAACTTTCTTTGAACAGTCCACAGACCTCAATGATTTGTAAAAATCATTTAGCTAATTCATTTTAAAAAGTCACAAAAATTCAAATTATTGGCAGGCGGTTTGTGACCAGAAATTTTACGAGATTAATTTTGTCAGATGAAACATTCATTATTAATTTTTCCATCAGCTGTGTGTGCTTTGGTGCCTCCCTAATAAGGAAGCTTGAAATCACTGAAATTTAAGTAGAAATTATCTTTGGGATGAGCTAATACTAGAAAACTCTGTCAGTCAAAAGATTCTTTTCTTTTAAAACTATCTAAATTTTAAAAACCATGTCATGCTGTTTTCCTGCTTGATGCTTAGCAGTGTGTTCTTTAAAGAGCTGTATTGCATTCACATTTTTCTTAGCAGCAGTAAGAGAACTACCAATTTATATAATCTGAAATGAAGTGCAAATTTGTTTAATCTATTAAAAAAAAGAGGGTTTCTTTTAGGAATCTGTACTGGTTTTAGTATGTGCAGGCTTATAGATGGATCATGATGAAAGAAATGGAACATGGCAATAATGAAGCACATGCATGTGTAGAGGTTGACCCAGTTCTGCCACTGAATCAAGCTATTGACAGTTCTTATCTTTATTTCCCACATGTTGCAAAGTTCCCTGTGTCTACAGTTGTGGTCCTTCTATAAATTACGTAATTGCTCAATATAAATTGTGTAGGAGAGAAATAGAAATATGCTTCTGTGAAGCACAGTTCTTTTAAACTATATGGGCTTATTTTTTCTTTTTAGATGGAATTTATAGAATTTATACCTTTAAAACAGTATGTAAAAAAAAAAAAAAAATTCTACAGATTTTGGGAATTTTTAAAAATAATGTATTATTTGCTGAAGGTCAGCAAATCAGAAAATATTACAAAAAATATGCTGATTCCTTTCATGGTAAAAGACTTTAATTATTGCTAATGATTACAAAGGAATAGGCATTTGCCATTTCTTTTCTAATATTTACTATTATCCTTATCCTTGCTGTCATTGTTTACTTTAATAGGCCAGCACAAACTTTCAGAAGAAAGATTAAACTGAGCTGCATGCATTTGGTTGCCCAGTGTCTCTACAAAACAATGATATTGCTGGTCTCTGCCTACTTAGTTCGCATATTAAATACTGCTAACTTCATGTTGATGGAAAGGCTTTGATTCTAGGATTGCACCGTATCCTGCTTTACATAACATAAAGAATGCTAATATTATAAATTGCCTTTGCACTTATTTTGCTTTAAACTGCATTTCAGGTTGCTATTAAAGATGATAATGTAGCAAGCTGGCTTGGAAACAAAGCAAGGAATTTGTGTGTATTAAAATCTTGTATTAATACGGTAAATTTGCATATTTAATATAAGAATACATGAATTTTCTATGGATTATAATTTGTCATGTAAACCTGTATTAAGTTTAAGAACTGTAGAAGTTATATTAATGTCTGTGTGATGAAGCTACACAGATTTTAGATCTGTATAGCTCAGCAAATTTGCTCTATTGTCCATTATATGAATGAGGAATAATCAGAGTCTATAGATTTGCATAGATGTTAAACTTAAAAAAAGGAATCAGCAAAAAATTTTCTGTAGGATATAATTAGTTTAAATGAGACTATCAAACTTCTAAAGTACAAACAGTCTAGCCTAGAGAATTCACATATCTGTATTTTTGATTCAGTAGTGTTGTACCATGTGTAATTAGAAAGGGAATAATGACTTCAGGGTCTTGTATGCGTTGGAACAATTTCACATGAATTTAGCTGTTCTCTGCAAACGTTTTATAGAAGACCACTGGCGTGCCACATTCTTAGGGAAGAAAAAATGGAAGAAGTCCAAGAATTTCACTGGCAGAGCTAGCTATGTGTCTTCAGGCAATTATTTACCAAAATGTAATTTTTGTGCTGAGACAAACGATATCTAAGCTTATGTCAAATTTGACAAATAGTGCCAGAGAGAAGTATGGAGAATAATTTTTGAGACGTGCAACAATGCTGTGGTTTGTGGTTTTTCATGTCAAAATTTTCACTGCAAAATTTATATAAATGTATTAAGCTGTCAGTGAAGAAAATTAAAAAAAACCCCCCAAAATCAAAAGAAAAATATCTTTGATCTATTATAAAAGAGGGAATAGGTTACTGCTACCTTCTATGCAGCAGCAATCCACTTCCCTATCAAGTGGTAGCTTGTGCCTATGGAGAGAAGAGGCTAGATCTGATTGTCCAAAGTTAAAGCACAAGGAAGAGGGGAATTGATGTTCAGGAGATTCTGTTCCCCTACTCCCTAGCAGAGGAGAAATGAAGTTGCTGACTCACACTTTACAGCTCTCCAGTGCATTTTCTCAGAACACCTGACTAGATGCCCTTTGTTCATAAGATTTAAGCATAACGGTACAAGTTTACCTAAAAGTAAATATACTTAAGGCAGTATGTCTACTTCCTTAGAGACAAAACAGGAAAACGCAGTACTACAGTTATATTTAATAATAAAGATCAGCAATTGCAGCTGTGACATTGTACCTTGCTGTCGCAAATGAGTGGTTTAGAGGTCCCTTAAAGAATCACCATCAAATGTATTAGCAGAAAGTGATTTTAATAGAGATTTATAAAAGTGCAACCTAACAGAATTCAATGGCAAGGTTCACTCAATTACTTACTACATGGATGAAACATATAAAGAAAAATCATCTAAGGGTTTATATCTTAGGGACTATATGTGTTTAGCAGCAGACTAGAGTTCATTCACAGTTTAGCAACACTTAATCATCACCTAATCATTAACAAACTTTAGTAGCACTTAATCATTAACTAATTTAATATTTACAAAATAAGTGTTAGTAGAATGTACTATAATCATGACTTCATTACGGATTATGCTTACTATTGGTCCACACATACACACAGACAGAAATTATATATATATACACACACACATACAGAAATTTTATATATATATATGTACACACACACACGCACGTAGAGAAGGTATACCTGTTAAAAATTCCCCTTGAGTTCAGTGAAGAAATATTCACATCAAATGTCTAGGCATTTTTTCTTAATGGGCAAAGGCTTGAGCTTCAAGGAGTGAAGGGGTTCAGCCCAGGTCCTGTCGTCAGCTTTCGGCGACAGTCCTACGAATATTGCAGACTCGAGAGGCTGCGAGCTCTGAGAGGCGTCCCACCCAGAGGGAGATGCTGGGCGCAGCCTGCTGCGGTCCAGGAGAGCTCAAAGGGCCTCTCTTAGGACCACCATTTATAGGTTCGCAAGATGATTGGCTTTAGTCATCCGTAAATTTCCATCCTGGCCACAGTCCCAGGTGGTAATTACTAAAAATTCTCAGGGTTTCAGTGTTGTTCTACTTGACGCCTGGGCCAGGCAGTAGGAGTACGTTCCCAGCCTCAGCTATGCAGAGTTTCTGATACGGTCAAGGAGCGCTCAGCCGCCAGACTCAGTACACCAAGGCCGAGGTTTCATGGAAATTTCTGAGATCAACAAGTGGCCTAGGAGCGGGGGCAGGGAGGATGGGGGGAAATGTACCACCACATTTGCTTGAGAGTCCTGCTCAATAGGCATTAGAACCCATCTCAGGCATGTCCTGGAGAGCCCTCAGAGCTTTGTCCTGCTGGTTCCCATTCTCAGAGATTTGAAAAAGCTGCTCAGAGCAGCTGCGTGAATGTACTTCTTCCCTTGGCCGGCAATGAGTAATCCTGCCTTATTTACCTCCTCCTTCTCAGAATTTGCTTGCACGTGCATTGTGATTCCACAGTGCTGAAACTTTAAATGTTACAACAATTACAGTAACTGTTAACCTTACTCCTAGTGAGAGAACAAACTTATAGGTAAGTGGTTGCAAAACATCACTGGTAACACTCAATCATTCTCAGCATCAGGGAACTTTTGGGTGGGAGAGGGGAAGCATGACATTTTCTTGATCAGAAACAACTCTGAATTACATTATATGTTTTCACAGTTGAACACCCTTTCCTTATTGCTGTAAGAGATAATATAATTTATGGAATTTCTCTGAACCCTGAGGAGAAGACAAATGATGCTATGGTTCCGATAGCAGGAGTTCAAAATGGTGTTGATGTTGACTTTGATGACTCCGAACAGATGATTTATTGGGTTGAAAATCCGGTTAGTATTTGTGTTCAAAATGTTAAAATAAGACTTTTTGTTTTAAAATAATGTTTTTGACTGAAATATATTACAATTGAAAGGAATGAAAGGGGTTTTTTTTTGTTTTTCTTGTGGGGTTTTTTGTTTTGTTTTGGGCTTTTGTTTGTTTGTTTGAGTCCGCCGTCCGCCCCCCCCC